TCAAAATCCTTGGGCTTGGCTCGGGAACTGGCCTCGTTGGGATCGCCGCGGCTGTCGTGCTTGGCGCTAATGTCACCGTGACGGACCTCCCACACGTCATACCCAACCTAGAATTCAACGCCGAAGCGAACTCCAAGGCGTTGACCGCTAGCGGCGGGAACGTCGTCGTTTCGGCGCTGAGGTGGGGAGAGGAGGCTGACGTGGAGGTGATTGGGCCGGAGTTTGACCTTGTTCTGGCGTCAGATGTAGTGTACCACGATCATCTCTACGAACCTCTACTCCGGACTCTGTACTCGCTTTTGAGTGGTCGGGAAACGACGTCGTTTGTGATGGCTCACCTCAGAAGGTGGAAGAAGGATTCGGCTTTCTTTAAGAAGGCAAGGAAGGCTTTCAACGTGGAGGTTTTGCACGAGGACACTCCTAGTGAAGGGTCCAGAATTGGGGTCGTCGTTTACCGTTTTTGTGGGAAGCAAATTCGGAAGTTGGGTTTGGCTAAAGCGGAAAATGCTTGATTTTGGTTCTGAAGAAAAGGGGGAAAAGATTTTGTTTTGGTTCAGATTATTGTTAACAGTGCAATGTTTGGCTGATCACTTCACTCTTTGAAGGTAGTCCTTTGGTTCTTTCACTTTTCGTTATTGATCATTCGTGGCGCTTCTATGTTACCCTTCCCTAGAATCGTTTACGGCTTAGTAGTGAGGAGAAGCACATGATCCTGGATTGATTTTTTTTCCGGTGTTGCTTTCTGTTGTAGAAAAAATTTGGGAAAGCGTCATGTTCTATGTTTTTTTTTTTTTTAAATTGTTGTCAGCTTTATTGAATATATTGTGATCGAATTGGAACAGTTGTTATTTAAGTTTCCTATTTAATTGTACAAGCCACTGTTGTTTATTGTTAACCTACATTAAAGTATCAATGGAGTTTGAAATCATGCTGTTTTAAGTTGTGATGGGTTCTAGAATTTTAAATATTGAGCAGAAAATTCCACGCAATCTTCTATTTACAGTTAGATTCCACATCAATCTCACACCATTCAATGGTAGAATATACCGCCGATGGTGGTGGCATAGCCAAATTGCTCTGTAGCTCTCTCTGTCATCTGTGAGAGGTTCGATTTTTTGCATCCACACTTTTAGTGCTGCGGAATAGTGAGGTTGTGTATTTGATGTACATTGATTTCTGGGAATTGTTGACAAGACCCTAAACTGATATCCTTTCCATCCCTCAATCGATTCTGAAAGTGATTCTAGACAGGGCGTGAGAACATCATTCATTCCGTTTCTATTCAGGGAAAAGGGGAAGAATGTGACTAAAATGGAAATGTTTTGACTTCGAAAGGTACAAGGAGTAAGAGAACTAAGAAATTTTTTTGCTCTGCCATGACAAAGAATAGAAGGTCCCAAGTTTTAAAATGGCGATTGAATTTGTTTTGCTTGTTTTACCCCCAATTCTCTGGAAAGTTTTTGTCATTTTTTTATTTATTTGCTGAAACAGAATGAGTATAAAGGAAACTCTCTAAGTTGTTACATTTAGATCCCATTTTGCACTGCCAACACATTTTCATGCAGTGAAATGAAAACAGCCTAAACAACCTTCAATTTATTTGCTCACTTTTGAGTTCTACAAATTAGAACTTCGACCCACAAAACCGGTATACATGTTACATACAGCATCAAAAGGCAAAAAGAATTAAGAATATTGACAACAAATTTTTTTTTTAAAAAGGGATAGGCAAGGAAATGGAATAGTAAACCAACTATTTCAGCAGCATATAGGGCATATAATCAAACCATTCTCATTACAAATAGAACAATTATTGCACTGCCCATTTTCAGCAACAACCTTGTGGCTGCCATTGCAGTTGAAACAAAGCACAAACCTCATTCCTGCACAACCTTCACAAGGGCCATTAGACCTATCAATTGGGACAGTTTTGAATAGTGGTCTAAGCCTCCCTTGCTCATGCAGCCCCAAAACTTCCTCTGCCCCACCAATGTATCTCCCTCTTATGAAAAGCTTTGGAGGAACTGCTTTGCCATCCAAAATAGTCCTCAACTCTTCCCGAAACTCCGAGTGCATCGACACGTCTCTCTCGAAATACGCCACCCGAAAGCTCTCAAGAAGAAACCGGACGCTGTTGCACCCCTCGAATGTTTTCCGAATCCCCCGTAGCGTCGTCGTGTAGAGAATCACCGAGTCCGCTCCCCCGGGTGGACACTTCTCGTCGAATTGCAACAACGGATCTTCTTCTTGCTCGATTTCTACCCGGGGAGCTTTCGAAGGCGGCTCTTGCTCTTCCTCTTCTTCTTCATCGTCTTCTTCTTCTTCTTCAACAATATTTTCGAATAATTTCTCATTCTCAATTTTCATTCGCCTCTCTGCTTCACTCATTTTCATATGATCCATCACAGCCTGCTTAAACGCGTCGAGCAGATTCGGATCAAATAGACTGTAGGAGTTCAAATCCGGCCGACGAAAAGACGACACATCCATCTCCGATAAAGGGGCTTGTCCGCGGTTTTCAGGCTCCGGTGCCAACAACTCCGAAGCTTCCGAAATTCTTCTCAATGAAATCTCCTGATTAGGCTTCAAAAAACGCATTGGCGGGCCGATGTTTTCCTTGTCGTCGGTGTCCTCATCCATTTCCATATCTTCTTCTTCATCTTCTTCAAGGTCCTTCATTAGCTCAGCCACATCGATCACTTCAGGTTCTTGCTCCGTTAAACAACTCTGGTTGATTTTCTTCCTCTGCTCTGGTTCTTCACAACGCAAAATTTTGTTTTGAATTTGAAAATCAGAATTCTCGGGACAAGAGTCTGGATAATACCCATCTGAGGCACTCACCTGAAGAACTCGATCTTGAATCTTCAGATACCCAACTGTTCCGATTGACTTCATTTTCTTCAGTAACTTTCCCTTCATCCCCTTCATTTTCTCGAGAAAATTTGAACTGGGCAACAGAGATTCTGAGATGAAAATGCCCTTTTTCTCAGCTGAAGACTGATTGAACCTTTTTTTTTTTTTTTTTTTTTCTTTCCTTTTTCCAATGCGCGTTGTCCAAACTTTGGTTTCAACGGCTAGAAAGTTGTTGGAGCCATTTTAAAATTTCCAAGGCGCTTTGTGGGGGCAGAAGAGGAATCCTATGAGATGCGAATCAGGATAATATTTGGGACCGATTTTAAGAGGGTGCCACGTGGTCAAAGTAAAGAAACTTTGCAGATGTACTGACACGTGTAAGGCGTAGAGGATGTGTGAAATAATCATGTGGAGCAAGTAGCACGATATTATAATTGCAAAATTTAGCAGCTCTCAGCCTCAGACAACGAAGGGATTGTAGGTAACGGTCATAATTGAAGGGAGTAGATTGGCCTACTACTCCTGTCTACTTTGACTATAGTTAGTACTTTTCTTTTCGACTTACCATCTTTTTTCTTTTCTTTATTGAGCGAACTTTTTAAATAAAAAAAAAAGTTTTATTTTTTCTTTCCTTAAAGTCATTGTGATAGAGGATTATTATTCATGAATATTCCTATTCCGCCATGCTGCAAAATTTGAAAATGTAACTACATCATGAAATATTCATAAGGGGTATAATGCTATTATATATCTTAATTAAAAAAAATATATTCCTCGCATTTTGGATGTTATTAAAACTAAACATCCAAGTTAAATTCGTTAAGCTTGTTCGTGTTCCAAGTGAAAAATTAATTTTGAGCGCTTACTTGACAACTTACGCTACCTTTTCCTATCTTGTAAGTACACCGATAATCAAATATTAATTGACCAATTTAACCATACGGCTTAACTTACAAATATACTATTTTAGGATTTTCTGTTTCATTTTTTTTTTTTTAACATAATGCCTAATTCATATTGCTAATTTGGACCTATTTGAGACTTGCACAATATTGCATAAATCGATTAGTGTTGGTATTTTGTAGACATTCCCGTGATACTACTTAAATATAAGTAACCTTTGCTACTGAGATTACAATAGTCTCTTCAAATTTCTGTATGTACTCTTAAGGATGTACATTAGTTTAAAAAAGGCAGGAAAATATTTCTATTACTTTCCTAGTATAAGCTAAGCCTAAGGTATGAAGACTGTTAGGAAGATTCACTTTCTTTTTTTTTTCTTTTCCCTTCTTTTGGAATGATCATGCAACTTTTAATTGTTTCCTAGTATAAGCTAAGCCTAAGGTATGAAGACTGTTAGGAAGATTCACTTTTTTTTTTCTTTTCCCTTCTTTTGGAATGATCATGCAACTTTTAATTCCTTGATGAAACAAGAATACATTCTTTGAAAATTACAATGGTGATAGAAACAAAGCAATTACTTGTCACATGATTTGTATATCAAGAGAAATAATTTAATCTGAAGATGCTCTTTGCCGAAGAGTTCGCCTCGACGGGAAAAAGGCAAGTAGCGATTTAGATTGGTTTCTTGGGGAAATGAAGCTTAACCAATGCTGGAAGTTCAGCTAACTCAACCTGAGGCTTGCCCAGCAAAATACTCCTCAACTTTCCGTCACAGTTGATCACATTATTGTTGTTTGGATCCTAGAAAGAGGGGAAAAAAGAAAAAGCTCAGCTGGATGCCTTTGTAGAAGAAAGATCAAGATTTTGATGCATTAGATATTGAAAAGGCAGCAAGAAACTGATGATGGTATTGAGCAAAGCAACCGTGAGTAGTATGGATCGTCGTAACAGAGACGTTGTAACAAACAGATGTTCACATTTTAATGTAGATGCCATCTAAGTGAACTAGTCAACATTTTTAACAGAAGATCATATATGCAAGAGAAATGTGTAGACGCAACATGCGAGTTCACGGGTCCCACACGTGGACCCTACAGAAACCAATGGTCCAGACTGTGCACTCGGGAGTGCATTCAGCATTGCTCCTGTAATAAAATCCCCTCTCCCATTTTAACCTAAAACACTCAACAACATCTAAGTAAGAACCAAGAACCATATTTCAAAATTCCAGATCTCAAAGATCAATCGGTTTCTAGTTATATCATACATAACAGGTCACACTCTGCGGAAAAGGTGTAGAACATGGCCGCAAAAACATTACTCATTGCGTTGTTGTAATATCATAAACTCCAAGAAAATCAAAAATCTCTAATTAAAACTAAGGAGCCCTGTAACATGGAAGAAGGAAGGACAAGAGTTTATGTAAAAACTAGTGCACGAACATTTCTTTATTTCCAAGATTGAAGCAATGACATAAAGGATACTCACAAAACACATAAAAATAAAGTGGACAGTAGTATAACCTGAAGTTTGTTCTCCTTGATATATGACCAGACATGCATGAAACACCCAAGACGAGAAGTCTGAGACTGACCCATAAACTCTCTCAACGGCGTGGGAAGATTAACAAGGTCAATCAAATTGGCCAGCTTCTTAGGGTTATCCATGACAGCCTGCTTCATTCGCGGCGGCAGCATTTTCTCAAGCGTGGCTGTGGTTTCTTTCTGAGACTCAAAACCTGAAAAGTGTTACTTAAACCTTTTTCTTCTCAATTCTTGAGGCAAAGTAAAAAAAGAAAAAACTTCCTCCAACTGTGAATATAGTTGCAGAATAATACTATAATCTCATACCATTAATTTACTTGACCCAATGGCATCTTCTAGAACAGAACTCAAACATTGGTTTCTATCACTGAATAGCTTTGGACACAACTTCTAAACGACCCAGTACTTAAAACGGAATTTAAACAGATAATAAGTTGTCATTTTCTGTTTGGTAGCTATGGAAACCCGTCAAAAACAGAATTTCAAACCAAATAGTCTCAGAGTAATTTAATCGAACATGTGGCGTGCAACAGTCCAGACCCTAAACAACAGGAAAATACTTCAAGCTTAAACCGTAGGGATTTTGGTTTAATATTTACGTAAATGAAAAATTATAGCAAAAAAAAAATACCGTAGTAAATTCAGGTGCGAAAATCCGCTGTTTCAGCGTCTGAATTTGTATATTCAGAAGGAGAACGAGAGAGGGCTCTCGAACTTTGACAAATGACAACTTGAGTCATAATAAATGTTTGCGTTGATTGGAGTCCCTGAACTTTATAAGCTTTTGCACTTTCTACTCTCCATTTTTACGGGTTTTCAATAATGTCCTCATTTGATAATGTGCGCAACGGGAATCCATGTGCAAAGCACGTGAGTTTGATTTTTGGTAGATTTTTTTAAAGGAAAATCAGCAATTTTCATTTATGTACCAAAGGAATTAAAAAATAATAATAATAAAAGAATGATAGCCCCTAAAATTTTTTACCTTATAAATTAAAGTAGTCTTTTTAACTTCAAAAAAGTACTGGACAATTTTTTTGGCATTGATACATCTTAAACAAGTTTTGAGAACATGAATTGCAAAGTTTCAAAGATTAATTATAAAAATTCCCCCTGAGTTATGTCTCTCATAATATTTTACCTATTATTCTTAAAACGTAACATCCGTTCTCCGTGAATAATAAAACGGTAATAAAAATGCCCCAGCCGTTAAGAAATTTAACAATTTTTGACACGTGTAATATAAATAACAGTTGTTAAATAATTTAGAGCCAATTACTATTTTAACTACGCTCCCTAATTTTTAGTCTAATTTGCATACAAATACCCTCTTAGAATACATGAGTCTAAATTTCTATCTCATACTTTTGGTTAATATCTTTCTAGTCAAATAACTATATTAGTCTAAAAAGTATTAATTAAGAGTAAGAGGTAAAATTAAGACACATACACTCTTATCGTGAGATTAGATTTGATAATCAAATTAACCAATGGATGCACAATGCATTAAATCGGACCACCGCAAAGGATTTGAGAGGATAAATTTAGTAATTATCGTGAGATTGGATTTGATAATCAAATCAACCAATGGATGCACAATGCATTAAATCGGACCACCGCAAAGGATTTGAGGAATGGCCGAATAGCACATCGCTCCCACATAATTCTAGCCGTTGCACATAACCAAAGGGAATGACTAGTATCTACCACGCCATCACTACTATGCCGGCAGCTCGTCGGTCGATATCTCCGCCCTATCTCTTCCGTGCGAAGTGAACTTTGGCCGGAAGTGCATGTCATGAAATGCACAACACCTTGCTAGCTATCGAAATTCCAGTATATATATATATATATATATATATATAACAAGACTTATAGTAGATAGCCAAATCTTTCATTAGTCCACATGGAAAATTTATATAAAGTGGAGTAGCTCTTTATAAGCCACCACACTGCGGTGAGTGCGTTGATAAAGTGCCCATAAGCGACTCACTTGTTGCTCATTTCCTTTAGGGGAAGTGCCAATTCTCTATCTAAGAGCTTAACTTTGTACCATAGAATGAATACTAAGCATCATGATTTTTTTTTTTTTTTTTTTTTTTTTTTTTTTGCTTTTGAGAATATCTTTATGATTTTGTTTGGTAATATATAACAATATTAATATGATACATGATAGATAACGTAAATACGCAATTACCATTCCCCAAATAATATTTCATTCACTATATGCATTAACACCTTGAATCACGTATTAGTTAATAAACGTACGTTAGGCTCATACACTTTTCTTTCCAATTGCATTTCTTTCATTTGCTATACAATTACTCATCAATATATATATATATATATATATATATTTTTTCTTTGTATTAAACCGCGTACGTTAGCCTTATACAATGCTATTTTGACGGAATTTCTAGTACTTTCTTCATTACCTTTCTGCTTAACGCTCTGAAACGGGGGAAAAAAAAAAAAGAAAAAAAAAATCCAGTAATCTCTCGCCCTAACTCATCCAATGGATTTGCACAAAAACAATGTCGTTGCGATTGCTCCGGTGTTGATCATGGTCGTAGCGGTGGTCGTTCCATCGTTCGGTTGCTCATCGTCTTCCGGACTGCAATACTCAGTGGGAGACTCGCTATGGACCATCCCGCCATTCCCAGAGTACTTCTCCAACTGGTCTTCTTCCCATTTCTTCAAGATCGGCGACTCTCTCGGTAATATTAATTCCTTCCTATTCCATCCAATATTCTGCGTAACATAGGCTTAGACATGATCATAGTGAAAACAACATTTGTTGGACGTTTGGAAATTTATATATATATATATGTAAATTTTTAAGTTTTTAGGCAATGATTTGTCTCCGTATAAATTTCAAATATATATGCATATATAGCCAAATTTTAGTAATGGGAACCTAAACCCTTAAAAGTTATTATAAGGTAAGCTAATTACTTTAGCAATTCTGATAACATTAAAGCATTCAACATTGCTAATATATATTCTTCAAATGACACGTTGAATTTTTAATTCTTAAGTAATAAGGTTGCTAACATGTCTAAATGTGATCCAAAACTAATTAGCAATATTAATATGAGAGAAAATATTCTTCAAGTAATATTATTTGTTGGTTAAAACATAGTTCATTTCTTCATTTCCTTCAAATTGCATGCAGTTTTCGACTTCGAAACAGGCCGTTATGATGTGATACAAGTGTCGAGCCAAGATTACGAGAGCTGCAACTCTCTGAACCCCTCGAAGATCTTCTATGGCGGTCCCACCATTATTCAGCTACATGAGCGAGGCGTCTTCTACTTCATCTGTAATTTCTCCAACTACTGCGATCTCGGCCAAAAGATTGCCATCACGGTCCACGATTGTCGCGAAGTCTATCCGCCGTCACCGTCGCCGTCGCCTTCTCCAGCCTCAACAATTACGCCTCCATCTTTGCCCCCATATAAAGATGGATCTGAAGAACCTCCTGTGCCGGTTCCAAGTCTTGCTCCTTCAAACGTCCGCGATTCGTCGGAGAATCACCCTCCGGCTAAGAAGTCTACGGCGGCGAGGGTAAAGAGAGGTTGTCTTGGATTTTACTGTTCTATTGAATTTTTCCTCTCTAGCTTGGCTTTTGGTATTTTTTTGATAGTATTCTTTTGATTTTTTTTTTTATTTAATTTGTTAGGAGGATTGTGAGAATTATATATATAATGTCATGGTGTCCCACTTCAATCTTTCTAAATTGGATTTAAATGTCTTTTTATGGATCAAACTATATAGAGAATTAGAATAACGAATTTGATGGTTTTTCTTTTCTTTTCTCTTCTCTTCTTTTTCTTTTCCTTTATAAGTATACCTGTTCAATCATTTCTCATTTATTAAGCCTCAGTTTTTTAAAGCTACAAAGTGATGGAGATATAAGGATTGGAATTGGTTCTAATATTTGCGTTTGATTTTAGTTTATGCTTTTCTGATATAATAATCCAAATTGATTTATGTTTATCTTATATCATTAATAGATTATGATTAGGTCTTCACTATGTATAAAAAGCTTAATAATTGTAATTTCAATTTAATGGATGATTGGTTAATGAATATTGATTTTCTAATCATTTATCCTCTTAAGTTCTTGTTCTAGTACTCTCTCCCAGGGTTCTATTTCTCTTCTTTGGGTTTTTTCTTTATATCTAAATTCTGCTTCTTCTAATTGGTGTTTAGTGGGCATGTGAATTGTCTTCAATTTATGTTCTGAGTCTAAGGTTATCAAGTCCCAAGAAACACAATTAAAATGCCCTATATCACAAAGCTATCATTTAGATTTGCAAAATATATTTTAATTTCATTCCCGTGTATATATTGGAGACAACAAAATGGAACGAAAAAACAAAATACCCTTAAAATAGTTTGTGAAAAAGGTACCATAAATCAAAACACTAAGGGCTTGTTCTTTTGTAAATATTTTTTAGTTAAGTTTTTGAGTTGAGTTTGAGTTGAGTTTGAATTATAACTTGAGTTGAAGTTGTAATTTGAGTTTGCGTTTGATTGTGTACATTTGAGTTGTGGTTTGAGATAAGAATCTTTTTGAGTTTGTGTTTGAGTAAGTCAAAACTGGAATTTGTATTTAGATAGTATTTTAATAAAAAACTCAATGCTGATGAAAAATTTTAATAGGGTATATGGGTCTAGTTTTATTCGTCTTTTCGTTGTCAACGCATAGAAAAAAAATCATCTCAATCAGAATTAAAACGAAAAAGTTATAGCATTTTTAAGAATAGAAAAAATAATGTTCATTAACTTGAGTTCGAGTTTCTGAACTCAAGTTGAAGGGAAAACTTGAACTCGAGTTTTAGTCCCAAACTCGAGTTCAAACTCGAGTTTAAACTTGAGTTCAAACTTAAAAGAACATGAACTCGAATAAAGTTATAACTCGAGTTGCTTTTTTTGAGTTTTTCACTCAAAAATATAGTTGCCGAACATGCCCTAACTTTTTGGAAGATTTGTTCTAGTATCCACCCCTGCAGGTGGGGGCAGCCGCCTCCGGCCAAAGGTGGCCCTCTCTTCGTTTTTCCCCAATCATTTTTTTTTTTATAACTTTTTTCCCTTATTTCTAATTATGACATTTATATGAAATTTTTTAAAACGTTTCAATCATATATCTAAAGATTTTTACTTTTCAGTATCACATATTTTAAACATAAATGCTAAAAGAAATCAATAATCAGAGAAATTATTATTTCAGCTCACAATTTTATGGATTGTAGACCTTAAAAAGTGATTTAAACTAATTAGAACCTTGATTCATTCGGATTAAAAATATATATATTTACAAATAATGATTATACTATTTTTTTTAGTTTAAAATTTTGATTTTACTCCCCTTCCTCTTAAATAAAAAAGGAAAAAAAAATTCTAGCTCCACCACTTGTGCCTACAACATGCCACCGAAGAGACACCTGGCACAATTGATACAACAAGCATTCGAGCATTGAAGCTACTTCGAATTGGAGGGCGAATCCTTTCAAGTATAGAGGTAATTATGTAGTCATAATTAAAATATTTGAGGATTATCCTTATATTAATTTTTTGAATTGTTATTTGGATTATCTTTGGTAATTTACATTTTAGGATTAATATGATGCGATTATAAATTTAGGCTTAGATTTGGTTTATTTGTTTTTCGTTTTGACTCCTAGAAATAAAGGACACATTAATTTAAGTTATTTCAATATTTTTTTTTAGAGGGAAGTTATTTCAATAGTTTGATTAATAAAATTACTATTGAAAAGTTTTTACTCTAAATATTTGGAATGCAAATCATTTAAGTTTTGTATCTATTCCTTTTTTTTTTTTTTTGGCATTCATGAATAAATCAATAGGCTGATAGATATTTTATAATCCGTTGTTTTGAGTGAATCAATGAATTAGATTTGAATAGATCATATCATGTCAGAAGGTTTATGGGGCCTTGAATGTTTATGTTGTCAGAATGAGGTTAGATATCAATTTCCTTAAAATTATTGGTTGCACTTCTCATGACTTTAACCCGTTCACTTCACTGATTTGAGTTTGTAATTCGAGTTGAGATGTGATTTTATATGAGAGTCTTTTACTGTAGCAAAAAAGTTAGACGTGACTGTTTCTGAGAGCTTTTTACTGTAGCAAAACTCGAATTCTAAAGTCGAATCGGCGAAATGAACGGAGATATAAACTACGTTTTCTTGTATATATTGATTTTCTCAGGGCCGTATAAACTCCTTTATCTAGACAGTCGATTTTTTTTTTTTGATATAAACTACGTTTTCTTGTATATATTGATTTTCTCAGGGCTGTATAAACTCCTTTATCTAGACAGTCGATTTTTTTTTTTTATCAACTTATATTGGGTAACATTTTATCAGGTCTCTGCCGCGAATAATTTTTAATTTTTTAGTAAATTTATATCTTTTATATCACGTTTAATAGTGGGAAAAGATTTATTTTCAATAATTTATAATATCATGCTTTTTGAACGATGAACTTTCTTTTCATCATATCTCATTCATATCATGTGACATCAAAAGAAAGATAATTTTACACGGAAAGATAAACTGGAGGACCGAATTTCATTCAAATAATTAGATGGAATCTTCTTCAATGTTATTAAAAAAATTTAAAAAAAATTAAAAAAAAAAACTTAGGAAATTAGTTATGTCTTACTTTGTTTCTCATGTGAAGTAAAAAAATAAAAAAATAAAAAAACTTAGGAAATTAGTTATGTCTTACTTTGTTTCTCATGTGAAGTTTACTTACCAAGTAAAAGAGGCATAAGTATCAAAACTGACCCACGCCAGTATAATTTTTATTCTACTATTTACTGAACCGAAATAAGGTAACTTATTCCCCAAAAATGGGGAGCATTTTTTTTTTCCCCCTATTATCTTGGTATTAGATCTAGTCATCTGGTTTCATCTTAAGTAATTTTGATAATTACTTTACAGCTATCCAGAGCCAAAGGTGAAGAGTATCCTGTGGGGGAACCAATACATTTTAAGGAAAAAAACAAGTAATCAGTATTTTTGCTGTTGACAGATATATAATAAAAAAAATGTTATTAATTTTGCAAATCGGGAATACGTGATAGTGCAAGTGAAGCCATTAATAGGATGCTTTAAATACCAAATAGTTTCCATTAAAAAAACCTAATAATTTTAAAACGTGATTCTAATTTTTTTTTTTTTTTGGTGTAATTATGCCACATGACAAAATTTCATATCTTAATTTGAAATTTAACAAAATTTTCATTAAATATAGCAAAAATGACATAATCATTATTATAATGATGCCACATTTTATACTATGTGATAATATAGCTATTATTCTAATGATATCAAAATTTTACAGTTTTTGTAATGTTTTAAAAATTTTGCTATACTTAAACTCTACCATTGAAATTTTGCTAGATGCGTGAAGAGCCCAAAATTTTTCCCTTCTAATCTATACAAACAAGACGTCATGTTATCATATATAACTCATATAGAGTGCGGTTTTAGTGGTTGTTATAATATTTATCAATCAATGAGTATTATTATTTTAATCTTATAATATTGATCCGACGATTATAATAAATTCCATAGTTAATTAAAAAAATGTGTGGCGAATTAATGAGATTTGATTTTTATCATGTCGCATCATCAAATTTTATTTTTGATGGACAATCATCGATGAAAACACAATCATTATAAATTGAGGTCATCCAACTAATATACTATGTGTATATATGAAGACATTAGGGTTTTAAGATTCTCATGACAATTAATGAAATTAAATTTTTATCACGCCATATTATTAAATTTATATATTTAATAGACATTCACTTATAAAAATATAACTATTAAAAACTCATCCATATATATAAGTAAAATTAATGTCCAAGGACATTGAAGCAGCTAGTCCAATTTTTGTGAGTGTTTTTTTTTTTTCTTTTTTAACTTCTTCCCCGTATGACATGCATGCTTAATTTCACTAGTTTAGTAATTTGATTGACTGATCCTGCCGTTGTATACTAGGAAAGACCTTTTGGTTTTTTGGTATGATTTTTGTCACTAATTAATATATCAAGAGACAAGAGCTATTTAATTATGTAGTACTCCAAGCATAATGCGATATAGTTTCTACATGAACAAAGGGCTCGCGAAAGAAGTAATAATAGTTTTTTTTTATTTAATTTATCACGGTTGATTAAAACAAACAGGTCGTAAAACTAAATGGCATACTTTATTATTATTGGTAACGCTGAATGTCGACTGTCGATATACTATTTTATTTGCGTGTTATATATTGAACTAAAATTGCTCGGATTAATTTGTCTTAAACATGATCGTTTTTAAAAAAGATCAAATTTTCAACCATTTTCAGAGTGCACCGTTTTTAAAATAAAAAAAAATGCAATCAAAAGATCAAATTGCACAACACATAACAATGAATGTTCAACCATTTTATGTACAGGCTATGGAATACTTCATATACATATACATATATATATATATATAGGTATCTAAATCACAACATCCTCTTCAGAATGCAATTCTAACCCTTGCACCGCATTAGGAGGAGGAGGTGTTATCCGAGCCACAGGAATTGACACCGAAACCGGGACCGGCGAGTTTCGACATATCGGACAAGTGGGATTCAGCCGGAGCCATTTATTGATGCACTTCTCATGGAAAAAGATGAGCACAATCCGGCAACAACATGAGCATATCCATTTCCTTGTAGTCAGCCAAGCATATTGAGCAGCTAGAAGCAGTTGATGAGCTTCCATATTGGAGCTTAATTTCGGAGTAGAGACGCTTCGGATAAGTGCCAAGTGTCACTTCATCAAGGGCACACTGATTTCCGGCCGCGGCCACAGCTGCGGCGTATATACCGCTTTGCTCGGCCGGGTTTGCGGGACGCACTTGGGTGGTGCAACGGTAGGAACCGATGCTTTGATTGTGTATCCTCCCCAAAAGGCTCGAACCCCATTTCTATGCTTTTAATGTTCTTCTTTTTCCTCTTACCTCCCCAAAAGGCTCGAACCCCATTTCTATGGCAGCTTCTTTGATTGCGTGTCCAGATCCAAGAAGAGGTACAAGTGATAAAAATAAAGCAAATATAGTATAAAGAAGGCCAACAATTTCATGTTCGTCGAGAAGGCAATAAACCTTCTCTGTCCAAAAACGTTTGAAAGCATGGTATCTTGCTTAGATGAGACTTTTCCCCCCATCCCTGGTAATACTTTTTAAGTCCAACGAATCAAATAGGCATAAACATTCAGATTCAATGAGGAACAGAGCAAAAACATGAAAAAGGAAACAAAACACAAATCTTGAACGAATCAGCTCTAATTAGAAATTCTTAGATTTATGGTCGTTTAACCTCATGCCTAGATCCCCATCCAATCACTGTCGCGTGAGCAGCTTAGCACCTGTCGTCATCGTGAGCGAAGACTTATCGTCGCCTTCCTTCACTGTCACATGAACAGACCAGCCCCCTCACTCCTACCTCCATCACCACACCTTCCTCAACGCCGCCACTTCCACTAATGGGTCCGAGATCATTGTTGAGAGTGAGTATGGGTTATCGATAGGAAGGTAGAGCGTCGAACAACCATGGATTTTGTTTTTCGTGTGTTATTAATTTTCTGGTTTTGTTTGAGGAGTTTTTAGGATCCGTTTAGTTCGCTGATACGACTTTTTAATTGGAGTTGAGATGTAACCTTATGTGAGAGCTTTTTATTATAGTCAAAAAGTTAGATGTGACTATTTCTTATAGCTTTTTACTGTAATAAAACTCGAATCGGTGAAGTGAACGGAGCCTTAGAGCTTTCATTTGATTAAAAAAACAATCTTTGAGTCTGTGTTTGGAGCAAGGATTCGTGTCATGGTTCGTGGCTCGCTATAGTATTTTCTCTCAAAAAATACACATAAATTGAAAATAATTCTGAATCATGATTCTAAACTCATGAACTAAACGTCCACTAATTTATTCTGGGTTTTATTAAATTTTTTTATTTAATACCTCTTTTATTCATAATACCATCTATTAGCCTTTAATATCAATTTATTAAATAAAAAAACCTTTAAACTCATGCCACATCATCAATTCTATTTACATTATAAACGGAAGTGAAATTTTAACATGTTTTCTATATATCAAGAGTGTTTTGAATTGTTTTGAAAAGTGAGGGGCACTTTAATATAAGATACATAATTTAAGAGCAGTAATGAAAATAATCTTAAATAGAAATTGTAAGGGAAGCAAGAGTTATAAGCAACAAGATTACCTTCACGAAAAATATAGAAAGTGAATAAGATAATCTATCCTATCTATTTAATTGAGAATCAGTTGTTCTAGAGGCGTTTCGTTGCCTTTTTTTCTTTTTCTTTTTTAGCTTTTTTTTTAATTTTTCTTTTTCTCTTTTCTCTTTTCTTATTGCATCCCAAGGGACTACTCGACTCTTAAAAAAAAAAAAGGGGTTGTTCTTCTGTAATAAAACTCAGAAAAATTTTGAACTCAAATTATAATTTTATTTAAGTTTATATTCTTTTGTAAAATTTGAGTTTGAACTCGAGTTTATGGCTAAATTCAAGTTCAAGTTTCTCCTTCAACTAAAGTTCATGAACTCGAACTCAAGTTAATAAATAATATTTTTTTATATTCTTAAAAATGTCATAATTTTTTCGTTTTAATTCTGATTGAAATGATTTTTTTTTCTACAACGAAAAGATGAATAAAACCCCACCCACATACCCTATTAAAATTTTTCATTACCATTGAATTTTTATTAAAATACTATCTAAATACAAATTTAAGTTTTGACCCATCCAAACACAAACTCAAATAAATTCTCAATTCAAATCATAACTCAAATGTGCACGTCTAAACACAAACTCAAGTTATAACTTCAACTCAAATTATAACTCAAATTCAATGAGATCATCACTCAAGTCACCATAACTCAAAAATGTAAAATAACAACTCCAACAACTCTATACTAAGCACATTGGGTGGCATTAATCAAACCACAGAAAGTCCCTAATATTGAAACGACTAGCAAATTCAATAGTGGTGATGAATATATACCACAAAACATCCTATGGAACCCAGAGAGCCATTCGTCACCCTATCCGTGTTGACTTTAATCTGCCCCTGAAATAGGAGTTCTACCTCAATAATTTAAAGGGCTGTAATCATTCTGGTGGACTTTGCAAATAAATATTATTATGTAAATACATGCATTCATACATACATATAAAGGCTTGCTGACACGTTAACAAAAAATTAAAAAAAAAAAAAAAAAAAAAAAAAAAAAAAAAAAAAACTTTTATACCTACGTGTCTCTAAGGTATCGTAGAAGGAGTTATACAGGCTTACTAATAGATAATAGATTACAGATTACATATTTAATGGCTTTTTTACGTACTAACCAATTTAGTGGAAGTCATCTATATGTTTTTGCTGAGTATGTTAAATGTTATGTGCTCTTAAAGTTTAAAAAAAAAATAATAATAATAAAAATAATAAAAAAAAAAAAACTGATTAGTAACGCATTGAATTGGGCCTAGCTCTACACTTCTCAGCCCTCAGGCGCGCGCTTTATCAAATGAACATATATATATCTATAATAAAAAGTTAAAAATATTATACATAAATTAACTAACTGGGTCCCTACTGCCACGTATTATTATATCCCAAACTAAGCTGTTAACTTATTAATTTAATTAATCCATTCTTACAATATATATTCTTACAACCAAATCTTAAAATTTTTTTAGTGTATTATTATGCGGAATTTTCGTCTTAGCTGGCATCCTGCCATGCATCGACATTATTAATAAATATATGTCTCGTTCATTTTACCGATTCGAGTTTTGTTACAGTAAAAAGCTCTCAGAAACAGTCACATCTAACTTTTTATTACAGTAAAAAACTCTCACATAAAATTACATTTCAACTTGAATTAAAAATTCGAATCAGCGAACTAAACAGGCCCATAGTCTTAGCATATTGTAACGTTGGTTACAAAAATTTGGTTCAATCTAGTGGCTTTTGACTTTGAAACGCAAGCTGAGTGTTTTCTGATCAGCTGTTAACTATTTAGAGCATTTCCAACGGTGAACACTAAAATGGCGTAACTTTCACATCAAAATGACGTAATTTCACTTTAAACAATAAATTTATCCACAACTTATACACATCATTTTTAACGCTAAAAAGAATATTCCATATACATTTCCTTTTTAAATTAAGAAAACAAAAAGAATAAGGCATCTTTTATTTCATCGATTTAAGTTTTCAATTTTAATTTTATTACAGTTAAAAACTCTCATAAAAAGTGACATTAACTTTTTCTGTTACAGTAAAAGGCCTCGTTCAGTTCACGGATTCGAGTTTTCAATTTGAGTTGAGATGTAATTTTATGTGAGAGAATTTCACTGTAGCAGAAAAAGTTAGATATGACTTTTTGTGAGAGCTTTTAACTGTAGCAAAATTAAAATTAAAAACTCAAATTGATGAAATGAACGAGGCCAAAAATTCTCATATAAAATCACATCTCAATTCAAATTAAAAACTCAAATCAACGAAATGAACTAAACAAGGTATAAAAATAAAAACCGATGTTAAATTTGGTGTTGAATGAACAGTGGAAACGCAAATATGGGTTTCCACTATTCATCCCACTTGTTTCACAGCAAATTGCCGTTAAAATATGGCGTTCGGTTTAGCACTTCTCCAGCACCATGTCTACTTTTCCGCGCCAATGTGGCATCGGTTGGAGACTTGGAGCTGGAAAGCTTCTTTTTTATCAATTACTTGTTTCCATGTCTGTCTTTCTTGTTTATTATGAAGAGTCTGGTTTGTGGACAGTTTTTTTTTTTTTTTTTTTTTTTTTTTTTTTTTTTTTTTTTTTTCGTTTGTAGTTTTTACCTAGTCAATCACTTTTTTTTTTTTTTTTGATAAAATCAATCGCAAAATCTTTGCTTTAAAGACACCCAAAAATAAATATTCTGTTGTTCAAAATCATTAATCTAGTCAATATCAGCTAAACTTTTAAGACCATCATAATCTCATCATCATCATCATCATAATCATCATTACTAATTATTATAAATATCTTTATGTCTATATATGTCTACATGTATACAATTAGTGGACAATATTACTTGAATAGAAAGGTCTCTAATCAGAATGAACGTTACACAAATTTGATTACAATAATATAATTTAACGAAATACTATTATGATTTTTTTTTTCTTTTTTAGCTTTTCGGTCCATATATACGAGATTACACTATAAAAAACAAAATGATAATATTAATAATTTCCCTGTCCATATTAAGGTTTCTTTTTTCACAAACGGGTTGTGTGTGTGTGTGTGTGTGTATATATATATATATATTATTTCGCTGTACAGCTAAATATATATAGAGCAGATTCTCAAAAAAAAAATGTATATATATATAGAGAGAGAGAGAGAGAGCAGGGGGGCACTGGGAAGAAAATTTTCGGCAACTTGGTCGGTGTTCAACAATTGCGGTTGGTGCCCGTATCCATCACGTTTTCAGTTTTCCCATTTCATTCTACAATTAAACTCTACGAAACTTAAAACCTTTGACCAGTATATATATATATATATAATAGAACACACAAAAAAATTACATAATATTCACCATTATTTTCCCCCTAATATCGCTAGCAAGATATCTTAACTCTTCATTAATTAGTTATTAAATATCTATCAGACCAAGCAGAAATTCAACGTCCTTTCGAACCCTAATTATAAAATAATCAGCCGGCAAAAAAAAAAAAAGAAGCAAAACAATATATATAATAATCAAAGTACTTGTCAATTTAGAAACATTCATGACCCGTAGGGTAATTTTGGCACCTAAAACTTAACTAGAAAGAAAACTCATTTAATATTACAAAGATCTCAACACCAACAAATAGAAGGGGGAAAAAATGCTAAAGCAAGCAGAAATTAGACGTCCTTTTGAAATATCCTAATAAAAACAGAATAAATGGCCGGGAAAAAGAGAAAAAAGCAAAACAAAAAAAAAAAATGTGATCATGAAAATTTGTCAACTAAAGACATTAAGGTAATTTTGACACCCAAAACTTTGTTGTTGTTTTTTTTTTGCTTGTATTTTCGCACCCAAAACTTGATTAGGGAGAAAAGTCATTCAATATTTACAAAGAACTGCAACAACAACAAAAATGTAAACCTCAAATTCATATGAAAACCTGTACTCAAATTCTACAAAAAGATCACTCCAAACTCAAACCGATATCCCTTTTGCCTTAACTCTCACCGTGCCGCCGTAGCCGTAGCCGCAGGCGCCGCCGCCGCCAACGGAGCGACTTCGGCCAAAGGAGTGGTCAACGGCGTCGGAATAGGAGAGCTCCGGCAGATAGGGCACGTCGGGTGCTGCCGGAGCCACAAATCGACGCAGTTGATATGGAAGATATGGCCGCAGTCCGGCAACAACCGGAGCTCATCGGAGTCTGCATAATCGGCGAGGCATATCGAGCAGCTGCTGGAAGCTGATCCTGCGCGGTTATTATCCCTCAAGTGGAGCTTCGCCTGGGCGTACAGAAGCTTCGGGAAGCTTCTGAGGACGTCGTCGTTTAGTCCTCGAGGCTGTCCGGAGATCGCCGGGTCGCCGTCGACGGTGATCATCACGACGGAGGCGGGTCTAGTGGACTGTTCGAAGTTTAAGCGAGCGCGGGTGCAGAAGTAGGAGATTAGGGTCATGATGATGACGAGGGTGAGGACGCCGATGGAGATGCCGATGCCGTATCGGAATCCGCCGAGGCTTGGTGAGCTCTCGTCGCCGGAGCTCATGGGGTTGTTCATGATGTCATGGCATGTTGTTTTCTCTTCTTTTATATTTTGGGTTTTCTTTTACTTTTTATTTTTTAATTTTTTTGGTGAAATGTTTTGGTTGGTGGGAGTTTATAGAATTGATTAAAAATGGATTTCTTTTAGTGAAGAGAGAGATGGGGAGACGAGTTTTATGCCTTTTTCTATTTGTTGGATGTTGATATGTTTTGTTACGAGCTTTTCTATACTTTCTTTGTTTTTTATTTATTTATTTAGTTATTATTATTATTATTTTGCTATTTTTTTCGATTGATGTTTTATCTGTGATTAATTACCATCTTAGTAAACCTTCATTAATTAGTTTTGTCCGTTCTCTAGACTTTAAGGTTTTTACTTTCTGATTCTATTGCCCAAAGTGGTATTAGTGCTAGATAATAGATGCTACTTGGATGACTTACTATTGTAGGAAACCTACCTAATATTGTATGTTTTCAACTTTCAAGGTATTACTCTAGAAATTTTGCAAAATCCGATTCCAAATTAAAGTGACCCTCAAAAAGAAAATAAAACTAATATTATAGATTTTAATTATTAAAAAAAACAATTTTTGATCTTTAGGTATTTCAATTTGATCTTTTAGGGTATGTTTTTTTTAAGGGTTCCGCATAGTTCAAATCATAATTCTTATTTCTATTACAGTGTTTTTTTCTTACAAAAAATTTCAATTTTAAATTTTAAAATCATGAACTATGATTTGAACATATGAACCAAATAGACTCGTAGATTGAATAGTATTGCAAAATCCACTCCTATCTCGTTAGTCATGCTCATGTCCAAACGTAGGGGAGTTTTCAAAAATCCCATTAATTAAAAAAAAAAAAAGTAAGGTGAAAGAGTGAATTAAAATTTTACATAGAAATATTTACCATATTCCGAACACCAAACATTCAAATGTTATTAAAAATATACTAACTAGCCTAAACCTCCAGCTAGTGAATTTATTCACCATGTCAATAGCTGTACTTTTTTTTTCCCAGCTGGTAGTTTGAGCATAAATGTAAGAAACGTCCTTGAGCCTAAGGGTAAGAAGGACATCTCATCTTGAAAATTTTTCAGCTATTTACTTTTAGCAAGAGTTTAAGGCCCATTCATTTCACCGATTTGAGTTTAAAATTCAAATTTTGTTACAGTAAAAAGTTCTCATAAGCACTCACATCTAACTTTTTTCTACAGTAAAAAGCTCTCACATAAAATCACATCTCAATTCGAATTAAAAACTCAAATCAGCTAATTAAACGGGCTCTAAAAATACATCGTCGCCCAATTCCAGCCAAACCTCATTTGAAGATGCATAAATAATTGTAATATTTATTTCAAATCAAATTAATGATCAAGTTGAAATACTTGAAATGAAGATCAAATTTTCATAATAGAACAAGTGGATTCCTAACAGTGTTACTATTGATGCCAACAGTACACACTAGCAAAAAAATATATCTTCTAATATGAAACTCATATTAGATGGAGGCCTTATTCACCCAAAAAAAAAAAAAAAAAAAAAACACTCATATTACATGGGATTAATTTTTTATTAGTTTGTGATGTTCAATGAAACTTTTAAGTTTTTTTTTTCAATTAAGTAAAACTATATTTTCGCATTAACTATGTACATTTTCTATATTAAAAATCAAAACTAAATGAAATAATAATTTATTTTCATTTTAAATAAGTTTGACTTTTAGCTATAGGGCTAAGCTACTTGAGGAAGAAAAAGTTGCACGGTGACATATTTTTTTGAACATTTTTCCATGTAGCAATATGAGCGATTTTTTTTTTCTTTTTTTTTCCCAAACTAAACTATATGACCAATTGTAAATTCTAACTAATGGAACTGAGTCTCCTGTTCTAAGTTTTTTTTTTTTTTTTGCTGAATAAAATAAAAGTTTAAGTAGTTAGCTTTTGTTCAATATGCCAGCGAATTTTGCAAAGTATCCTTCTTTGAATATTCTTTCCATTAAAGAAAATTGAATAACAAAACAATAATACTTAAAACAATTTATACTTTCTCATGTTTTGTTTCCTTGAATATAATTTCTCTTGTTTAGATTCCGTTTATTTTACCGATTCGAGTTTTAATACAGTAAAAAATTCTTAAAAATTGTTATATTTAACTTTTTTACTATAATAAAAAAATTTTATATAAAATCACATCTTAACTCAAATTAAAAATTTAAATTAACGAATTAAACCGGCTCTTAATTTATGCATTCATCTTTGAATTTTTTTTTTTTGGTTGACTTTTGTAGCCATCCTGAAAAAGTGTGCCGCCCTGATCATGATGATCCAGAACATGCCATTAGACTCAAACACCTTGTCGTCTTTTTTCCCCCAACTCCAGCGCCTTATCCATTACGTGAAAACACTCTTTTTGCGACCGAAGTGTTTGCTAATCAAATAAGGGAATTTTTTAGCAAGAATATTGACAATTTTTTATTTTTTAACTGTTATATTTATATAAAAAATTTATTTATTCTGTATAATTTTTTAATTTCATGTGATTTTAATAAAATTTAACAGTTAAAAATTACTAATACTACGTATAAAAAGGTCTGCCGAAAAAAGTCCGATCAAATAAATATTCCCATAAAATATTGTCGCAAAATTTGTGCGACCAATTTTTTTTATCGTATAAGGTTTTAATTCCCTATGATATTGAATTGCCACAATATTTATCCACCATGTGTTTTTTGAGATTTTAAACACACGTGACATCATGTCTTATATGTTGCTTGAAATGTTTCACATGACATTTGCTGATCATTTATTAATATGTTGTTTATTTACTATATATTTTCAGTTAATGTATGTCGATCAACCCACTTTTTCATTGTTTTACTTTGTTCATTCGCAACCTTAATATAGTTCGTATTACCGAAAAGCATAATTAGGTTTGTACATTTGGAGGAATGCCCGTCTAAACATGTAACATTCGAAGTTTTCATTATATTTTTGAATTTGTTATATTGGCTCTTATTGTTAATTGTTGTATTATAATTTTTTTTTTTTTTACGCAAAAGGAGCATATTTTGGGGAATTTGAGGAAATTATATAACAATTTAGATATTTATTGAAACTATACATACTTTGAACCCTCAATTTTTGAAATGCTTGAGCCTCTACTACTCAAAATTTTTGCAAATAGTCCCCTAGGTGATTTTTCATCTTTTTCCCTCCTTGAATCACTTGGAAGTCGGAAAACCCTTGATAAAACAATTTGAATCCTACCACTTTCTTAGAAAAAATAAAATAAATACCCCTCAGGCAAAACAAGAGAACCCTTTTCTTCTTATTCTTCATTATTTTTTCACTCTTTTGTTCTTCTTTCTCTCTTTTCTTCCTTCCCCTTTTACGCCCTTTCGGTGAGTACTCCCTCCCCCTTTCTCGAACCCAAATCTCTCTTTTCCTTGCATGCATGTCACTGGACCTCCACCCCAATCTCCACCGGTAAAATTCGTGGTTGGTTTGGTGGACGAAAATTTGAGAAGAAAAGTGAATATTGAAATAACGATTTCCTAAGGAAATAGGTCTCCAGGCATCAATAGGAACCAAATTTCTTAAAGACGTTTTCTAAATTCTGTAAAATTATTCTAGAGAGACACTTCAATAAATCTTGAATTTAGCTGCAAATCACTTCTGAAGTTTTATGTGAAAATTTTGTAACTAAAAGAATTAGCTACAAATCACAGAGAAGATCGACAAACGAACGTTGACGTGTACCATTAAAGATTAATGATGGGATGGAGAAAATGAAGTTTGGAGCATGTTAGTAAAAAAAACATTTTGTAACTAAATCCAACTTATTTTGCCAAACTTTGTTTGTCACATATTCACATAATTAGCAATATAAGTTAAATTTCGCTAGAACTTTTCAATTTCTTCATGCAAAATAATAGTGCGGCTATTGATGACAACGTTTTTTGCTACTAATTATAACTTGCAACTAGTAATAAATATTTAGTTGCAAATTTCATTTTATCACAAAATATTATTTTTTAGCTACAAAATTACATTAGCTAAAGCTACAATCTGTTGTAGTGAGAGTCTCCCCTAAACTGCACCAAACGTCTAACCATCGAATTACTACACAATTTGTTGTAGTGAGAGTTTCCTTTTTTTGTCCAAAAAATAAAAAATAAAAAATTTAGTAGAATTTTGATTATAATTCATTACATGATCGCTTTGTTAAGTATAGAAGCATAAGTCTCTTAATATTTGTCCACGTATATACACACTTTCTTAAATCAAGACTCTCAAAATTTCAATCAAAACACAAAAATTTTAGTTTATATTAATTTACATTTCAAATTAGACATCAACGTCATTTTCTTTTACTTGGTAATAAAAAAACGAAAAAAAAAAAAAAAAAAAAAAGAAAGAGCTACACACACGCAAGATCATAAGAGAATCTACAAATTACAATTATATATAAAGGGTAAAATAAACCCGGATCCTATATTGTTTAAATATATATTAATGTCCCCAAAAATATTCTTCTAGTACGACAACGTCATACAAAAGGATGATAGATTGTTACCATTACTTTGTCAAGCGAAAAATTTAAAAAGCAACAATAATAAGGAGGAAAAAAAAACTAATTTGACTTCAAAACATCATAAGAATAAAATAAAAATCCTTTATATATCAGCTAGTTCCAATTACAAGACATTAGACAGCAAGAATTTGTGTATCATAAAAAATATATTTGATGACCATTATTATCACTGCCATACCGACGGAGTAACCTCAGCTAGAGGAGTGGCGATCGGAGTCGGGATCGGCGACGTTCGACAGTTGGGGCACGTCGGCCGCAACTGCAGCCACGGATCAACGCATTTCTGGTGGAAAACGTGTCCGCAATCCGGCAGCAACCAGAGAACGTCGCCTTCCTCGAAGTCCGCCAAGCAAATCGAGCAACAGATCGCCGTCGACGACGAAGATTCTTCGTCTTCATGATCTACAAGTTTACCGAAATCTACAGAGTAGAGCAGCTTCGGGAAGCTCCGAAGGGCGGCCTCATCGAGACCGAGCTCAATGATCGTGACACCGCCGGAGTCCTGATCGCCGGCGGAACTTCCGGCGCCGACAATGGCGATGGTGCTGATCGAGTCGCCGGCTGGACGAGGAAGGCTATTGTCCGACCGGAGGAGGGCGTGTGTGCGCGTGCGGGCGGTGCAGTAATAGGCGACGAAAACGGCGAATAACAGTGGCGGAACCAGCTTTTCACTTCAGTGAGAGTGTACACTAAATTTCTTTTAACAAATTATCTTAGTGAAGACATATAAAAAAATATATTTATTTTAATGGAAACATATATTATTTCAGTACAGACTTAAATATAAAATTTTTAAAGGTAATATTTTTTTAAAAAAAATTTGAGTAAGACGGTAATTTTCACTGAATTGTACTTAAATCCGTCAACGAGGATGACGATGGCAACAAGGGAGATTTGAATTGCCATTAGCACTTTCCCTGTGGTGCCTCTATCGTCATTAGCAAAGCTCATCTTCTATTTTCTTCTAATTTAATGGGGATTTTTGGTGTTCCGAAGAGAGGAAGAGAGAGAAAAAAGAAATGAAGAATTTACTAAAAACTTTTACTAGCTAAGTCAATACTGCATGGGAATTTCCCTCCCAAGGAGTTTACTTAATTAGGATGGAAATTTGGCTCCTCTAAATGTTTGAGGGCTATTTTGAAAGAGAATTATTAGTGAGACAAATGGCTGTATACCACGTTCACCTTTGGTGTAGTGTAGATAGTGATTAGTGGACTTATTAGCGAATTTTTAAGTGGGTAATTGGTTTAAGATTGAAAGCTTCATGTATTAAATTGCTAAACATTAAAATCAAGCCTTGGGGGTCTTATCATTGTTATCCCTTAGTGTTAAAGTACATTCATTTGAAAGTAACCGTTGATTTTTCCAATTAAGTCCATATCAGTTTTTGATCAACCTAACACTTGCTTTCTTTTCTAACTTGAATCTTAATTTATAAATCAATGCTTTTGAGCTCCCCAAAGCGCGCATAGAAGTCAGATTGGCCCCACCTTTATCTGTAAAAGCGCACATTTTTGTGGTGCAAATCTCACGCTAAGCGGAATCTAACGTATTACTCTAATTTATAAGTGACATTAAGAGTCTGTTTAATTTGTTAATTTAAATTTTTAATTTGAGTTGAGATGTAATTTTATGTGAGAGCTTTTTATTGTAGTAAAAAATTTAGATGTGACTGTTTATGAGAGTTTTTTACTGTAGTAAAACTCAAATTTTAAACTCAAATCGGTGAAATGAACGGAGCTAAGTTTTCTTTTTATTTAATTATTATTTAATTTATTTTGGAAAGTAGTCATTCAGATATAACTAAAATAAGAGGATTCAAGATAGAGCCAACAGGGAAGGAGAAGTGACGGTGAAGATGGAAGTGATGAGACTAAGGGGTTATTTTTTTACATTTTTTAGTTAGAGTGATTTGAGTGATGATCTTAAGTTGAGTTTGAATTATAACTTGAGTTAAAGTTGTAATTAGAGTTTGTGTTTGGATGTGCACATTTGAGTTATGATTTGAATTGAAAATCTTTTTGAGTTTGTATTGAGTGAGTCAAAACTTAAATTTGTATTTAGATAGTATTTTAATAAAAACTCAATGGTGATAAGAAATTTTAATAGGGTATATGGGTGGAATTTTAATCGTCTTTTCGTTGTGAATGCATAGAAAAAAAATCATCTTAATCAGAATTAAAACGAAAAAGTTATGGCATTTTTAAAAATAGAAAAAATATTATTCATTAATTTGAGTTTGAGTTTATGAACTCGAGTTAAAAGAGAAACTTGAACTCGAATTTAAACTCAAATTCAAATTCGAGTTCAGACTTAAATTTTATAAAAAATTATGAATTTAAATAAAATTATAATTCAAGTTTAAATTTTTGTCAAAAATTTCGTTACAAAAGAACAATCCTTAAATCTCTAATTTTTATTACATTGTGCTACCATTCCAACTTTCACGGCATTATATGCCTAAGTGCTCTAAATCCATGATGGGTGATATGAATTAATTCAAATTTAAATATGACTTTATGTAAAAAAAATTTATTATAATAAAAAAATTAAATATAACTGTTTTTTAAAACCTATAACGCAATATATTTGCACAATACTTCATACCAGCCTGACATTTTCTCTTTTTTTTTACTTTAGGTTAAAGCATTAGCTGTCATCGGCTGAACTTTTTTTTCTTTACCCGATCAGCATGTGCATGCCATCCACGCTACATTAGTAATGCAGATCAAAGCATCCTAAAGCATGCACCATTTCATGCATCTCCTAAAACAGTAATATAGTAACAGTAACAAACTAGATGGAGAAAACATGCATATTTCTTAATAGGTCTGAGAGTTACAATTTCTCAACTCCAGGCACAACCATTTGCAAGCATTTAAGTAAAAAATCCAAACCAGAAAGACAAGATTCTAATAGCCCTATGACAGAGAATAAAATCCCTACTATGAGAATAAAATCCCTACTAATAAAACGAGAATCAAATTAACTGTTTATTTTATCAAATAATTTGTTAAAGCAGCAGCCACATCATTGCTGCGCACATTGCACCCTCTGGGCACCACCATGCATATCGTCGTCCTCATCATATGCTTCCTGGGCCTGTGCTTGCTTGCGGCGCATCTCCTCCTCAATGTTAACATCATGCAGCGTGGTCTCCTCGCACTCGTCTATTTCCATGTCTGTAAGCTGCTGTCCTGACCTTGGGGGCAGCACAGTCTCCAGAGCCTTGCATTGTTCTGGGCTCAAGGAGTCCGGAAATTCAACAGTGAAATGAATGTATAATTTACCCTTCATGAATGGCCTCTGGTACATTGGCATCCCCTCGTCATTTATAGCCTTGAATTGGTCTACATTACACAAAAGACAACCGTTCAGAATCATATTAGTTTGAACACTGCTTTATCTATTACTATGAAAAGCTGAAACTGTAAAATAAAAAAATAAATAAAAATAAAACAGAAAAGCAGGGGAAAAAAAAACGCGCGCACTAGAGTATAACTTCAAATTCGACCAAATAATTAATATGGTAAAAAGTTCGCAACTAAGGGAAGCCCCAATTCATCATTCACAACCAAAGTACTAGACAAGGTAGTTAAAAACTTCAAAATAACTAGTAGTGAAAGCAATACTAAACATACCAAATACATCAGAGAAAGGATTGGATAATTGAAAACTTCAAAAAAAAAAATAATAATAATAATAAAGAAAAATAGTGACAGCAATACTAGAAATAACAACACCTACCAAACTATCAATAACGCGAGACACCAATTCCGATCCCAACTTTTATGTACCGACTAGCATAGCATGTGATTTGTTATTTTTATGTCAGTCAATCGATTATAAGAGATTGCATGTGCCAATAAAAAGATAACTCACATGCTATATCAATTGGTACACTAGAGTTGGAATTAGAATTGGTATTCCTAGCATGACTCCCAAAGACCAAAGTCAATGAAATTAAAACTGTAAGTTAAGAGTAGCTCAGTCCAAAGATCAAAGTCAATGAAATTAAAATTGTAAGTTATGTGATGGCAAAATGCCTATTAAGTTGAAAGGAAAGTTCTATAGGACTGCAATCCGCCCAGCTATGTTATATGGTAGTGAATGTTGGGCCATTAAGAGATAAACGTAAGATGAGTGTGGCAGAAATGCGTATGTTAAGATAGATGAGTGGTCATACCAGAATGGATCGCATAAAAAATGAAGTTATTCGTAATAAAATAGGTGTAGCACCAATAGAAGATAAGGTGCGCGAAAACCGCTTAAGGTGGTACGGGCATGTCCAACGTAGACCGCTAGAAGCACCAGTTCGTGCTTGGGAGGACATTCTTATACATAATACTATGAGATGAAGGGGTAGACTAAGAATTATGTGGACCAAAATAGTCAGGAATAACATTCTAGATCTAAGCTTTCAGAAAAGTCTAATTTCGAATAGAGCTGCGTGGAAAAGTGAAATCCATATAGCCGACCCCAATTAAAATAGAATTAAGGCTGCTTCTTGTTGTTGTTGTTGTATTGAGTAGCACTGGATCGGCTTAGTGGTCACCTGATTAGCAATACCCTAGGCAGGTAAAAATTTACAAGCAAGCCTCGTTACTTGAAAGTGGACTGTCAAAGTAGGAATATTAAAAGAGGTTTTCCAGCCCTAGTTATAAGCAGCAAGGGTTACAAGTTTACAACTTAAAAACACTCAACAGTGACCAGGATCAAGACGGAAACAAGAAAGAAACATACGCCAAAGGCAGCCATGAGAGAGAGAGTGTTCATAACAACTTGTATACCCTGGAATAGTCAGGTGATTGAGGGTCTTTGGACAACCAGATACCCAAAAAATAATTTAAAAAAAAAACGCGCACCAAAAAGAAATAATAATAGCTCATATTATTTAAACTCGGGACACACAATATAGTGATATGTCGCTTACCAGGCTTAACTACTTCGCCAGGTTGGGATTTAATAAGGAGTTGCCTGCCATCTAGATGTGTTAATATAAATTGGAAGCCACATAGCGCCTCTGTGAGGCTCAAGGTGTGCTCATAAAATATGTCATCACCCTTTCGCTTAAACTTGGGGTGCTCTTTCTGTTGTAGGACAAATACAATATCTCCTGTAACAGTATCAGGCTGCAAACAAAACAGGAACCCAGGGGTAGATCAATACCTATGAAACATAGGATCCACGTGGCTAACATAATAGCTAGAAAAATGCTAAAACCAAACACATAAAATGTCATTCTGCCTTACCGCTTCATCAGCTTCTCCAGGGAATGTAATCCTCTGTCCATTTTGCATACCCTTTTCCACAACAACTTCCAAGACTTTCTTCTCCTGGACAACCTTCTCACCTTTGCACTGCATGCAGCGATCCTTGTCATTGATGGTCTCACCAGTACCCTTGCACTCATTGCAAGGATGCTGCATTTGTTGAATCATTGAGGGACCAAGCTGTCTAATGGAAACTTTCATTCCAGAACCTTGACAAACAGGACATTTCATTGAGGCACCTGACTTCGAGCCCTTACTGCATATCAGCAATCATCATATAAAATCCCAATTTCGCCAGAGTAAGGTATAAAAACGAGTTTCACGCTGCAAAAGTACATATATAGGCACTAACCCCTTGCACTTTGAGCAAAGTACATTGCGGGAGAGGGAAAGCTTCTTAGCTGTCCCGTTGTAGAGATCTTCCAATGAGACCTTGAGAGGATGTATTACATCCTCACCCCTTCTCTGCCTTCGGCCTCTGCTGCTCCCACCACCTTTAAACAGAATAACGGATTATTGTAAGAACAATGACTTCCAAAGAAATTCACTCAATTACAGCTGGCTCAGTCTCAAAAAGTCAAAATCCTTACCGCCAAATGGACTGCCACCGAAGAAGGATTGGAAAATATCAAATGGGTCGTGGCCACCACCTCCACCACCCATTCCTTCCTTAAGGGCATCCTCGCCATATTGATCGTAGATTTCACGTTTCTCTGGGTCACTAAGGACCTCGTATGCTTGGGCCAACTCTTTGAACTGAAAGAGAATCAACAAACATCAAAACGAATGCCCGAAAACAAAATTGTCACAAACAAATATCAAGGAAGATCATGATCAAAGATATTTAGAGAGATAATCCAATGACCAAGTCCATAAATAAATAAAAAATATATTCAACAATGAATATCCAGGAGCTCGTCAAACTAACAGTTTTCCATCACGAACGCATATGGGATATATCCTGAAATCATTGTTTAATGCAGAAAAACTAAAATTTCCCTTTAACTTTGATAAAAGTCCAACCATATCATACGTATTAGTATTACTATAAGAGGGCAGCGCAAAACTTGAAACCTCATTGTTAATAGAGATTTTTGTTATGTTTAGAAGAAATCATAAACGTCTATCTATCCAAATCCATTTGAAAAATATTCAAATCATTCAAACAAATTCTTAGACGCCCATAAATAAACCACCAAAAAACAACTTTGATCCATTGATACGGATCTAAACAGTTTAAACCAGTTTATCCTTATCAAGCTCACAAAAACAACCCTAAAAGACGCAATTAAGCAAATATATTGAAAGTCTCAATCAAAAATTCACAAGCTGATCCATCAATACACAAAAGAAGACGCAAAAATTATACCTTCTCGGGATCACCGCCCTTGTCGGGATGGTTTTTGATGGCGGCTTTTCTGTAAGCCTTCTTTAGATCATCCTGCGAAGCGTTCTTCGACACGCCCAGGACCTCATAGTACTTGGTGTTGTCGCTTTTCTTCGGCCCCCTCCCAAACATTCTCTCTTATGTATAAGTATAAAACCCTAGAAAAAAAGTTAACAGCAAAAATTCAGATCAAATCAGGAATCCGCCATTAATTGCAGATCATACAAAGCAAAATCGAGAACCGAAGATTGGGGAGAAGGCGATGGAGAGCTCACCGATTGGGAATTTTATGAATTGCAAAGAGCGAGCGCTAGAGAGAGAGAGAGAGACGACACGAGACGGCAAGAGAGAAAGAGGAGTAAGAATGGAGATGGATCTGGAAATTTAAGGGAAAGAATGGACGGTGGGGATTTATCTTTAAGGAACGTAGTAGGCGGTCGCTGAGGGGTAGTATTGTCAATTCACAATTGACTGAGTGAATGGGGAAGATGGGAAGGATCTAGAATTTTTCTTAGCTTTTTCGCACTTGGCTCTTTTTATTTTTGTATTTTTTTTTTATTTTTTTTTTCCCTCATGACACTCCGCAGTTCGCACTTCTATTCTTATTTTCATTTTTTATTTGTTGTGAAAATACTTCCAGAAGAAGTTGTCTTTACAATTTACATTATGCCCTTAAAGTTAACGACAACCAAGAAAAAAAAAAGGAAAAGAAAAAGAGAAGAAAAAGAGTTTAGATGAAAATATTAATGAGTCCACCGTGGAGTTCGATTTTTTTATTATTTTTATGGACATTTCGTTTTAGATTTTGTCGAAACTTTTGTGGAAAAAAAAAAACTTGTGGAATAACCACAACTAAGTTATTATAAATCAAAAAACAAAGGGATAAATTCATTAGTAGTTTTTGAATCATGAGCCCAAAAAAAAAATGTAGAGGATGTTTGGTTTATGTATTCAAAATCATGATTCAGAATCATTCTCATTTTACGTGTTTTTTTTGTGAAAGAAAATACTGTAGAAAATCATGATTCAGAATCATGGATGAATATAGGAAATAAGCGTCTCTTAATATTGAATTCTATTCTCCCTAAAATTACTTCTTGCAATATGTTTTGTCTCATAAATAATATCTTAACTGAAAAAAGTGTATAAATAATTCTCTTATTAGAACTTTAAAAAGAAACCATAAACTTAGATGATAGTTAGAATATTATAAGAATTAAATTGAAAAAGGTTTAAGAACATTAATATCGTCTAGAATTGTAAGTTTGAGTCGGGCTAAATAAGTGAATTCGAAACCTGTCATTGTTGGGCCGATTCCAACCCAAAAAAGTGCATTATAAATGCTATTGTTAGGGTTTTATTTTGTGATGATTTTCTTAAGATTAAAGGCTTGAAACATTATTGAGAGTGAGAGAAACAATGATTGAAGGTGCGTTTAGTATATGGATCCATAATTATGATTTTGAATCCTAGTTTAGAATGTGTTTGTTTACAGTGATTTTGAATCATGATTCAGAATCAGTGTTTGATTTGGATGATTCTAATAATGATTTGGAATCTGATGTGATGTTTTAAACTAGCTCAAATCATGATTCTAAAACCACCCCCTTCTTGATTCAAGGTGATTCAAACCCATGATTCTGAATCATGGTTTCAGAATCATGATTTGAACTCAAAATCATGAATCATGGTTCTAATTTCAGAATCATGATTAAAATCACTCTAGTTTGAATCCTCATACCAAACGAACCCTGAGTGATTCTCTTATAACAGTCTTCATCAAAATATAATGAAAATTTATAACGGTAGAAACATGACGTAATTAAATTGGTGAACATGTATCAAAATTCTTAGTACGATTGTACATTTATTTTTCTTTTTGCTATGCGTTCTCAGTATTCAAATTAAGTCTCGCCTAATTTTTCGCAACACTCTTATGGATGAAAAATGGACCAAGTAAAAAATGGATCCACCTAGTACTTGTAATATCAATATCAATATCTTATCTTGTTGAAATACAACAAAAGCGAAGTTGAGTGATTTAGGATAAATACTACGAGTGCAAATGCCCATTACCCACAAATAATAGAGAATGATTAGTTCAAATTAGAGCCCGCAAGGATGTAATATATTCAGGTTTAAAGCAAATTTACAACAAGGGTAATACTAAAACAGCTCATATGGAGATTTTTTGGTAAGTGCAGGATGAAATATTATTGGTCGATGCTAAATGAAATATGAGATTATAATTACAAAATATAGGAAACGAATACTCCGTTCATTTTACTGGTTCGAGTTTTGCTACATTAAAAAACTCTTAAAAACAGTCACATTTAACTTTTTTGCTACAGTAAAAAGTCTTTACATAAAATTACATCTAAACTCGAATCAGCGAACTAAACAAGCTCGAATTATCTCAATGTTACTGTAATCTATGAGAACTGTCTCAGTTGCAAGGATAAAAGGACAACATCCTATCTCAATATGTCGTTTTTAGTAACAACCTTCATTTAGAGAATTAGTTTTGTTGAAACAACTTTCATTAATAAAAATTTTGTTGAAACTTGTTGCATTGAAAGAAGTTAACTTGTAACTTGCATGTGATAAGCTAGGGATCGGAGGCCTCCCTTTGCCTATAAATAGGCATTGCTTCTTCTTCTTCTTCTAAACATACCAACAATAGAGATTTGTAAGAGAAAGACGAAAAAAAAAATTGAGATAAGTGTTTTGAGAGAATGAAAGAAGAAAGGAAATAGTGCAAAATTAATAATAGTATTTTCTTTATATATTGGTTTCTTTGCTTTACTATTTACTTTACTCACTGTTTATTTATCTTGCTTATGTAATAGCATATATACTCTCCCCAAATTATAACAAAGAGGACAATATTTTGGTTTTTAGATTAAAAGCCCATTCATTGATCATAGGGCAGTCAGTCAGTAATATCGATTTCCAGCCCATTTATATAATGCCAATTTCCCTGCCTATGAAAACGATAGCCGTGTTTAGAATTGATTCCGTTTTTATCTTTTATATTTTTTGAAAAAAAAAATGAAAACGTTTTTAAAACAACATTTGGCACAATAAAGACAAAAAACAGAAATGAAAACGATTTTTTAATTTAGGGTAAAATGAGAAAGAAATGAAAAACGAGTAGTTTTTCATTTTCTCATCTCTCGAACAGAGAGAAAAATATTAATGAGTTTTTTTATATTGAAAATAATTTATTGATAAAATTACGAAACGTATTTTCAAAAATAATTTATGTATAAGATTGAAAACGTTTTCATTTTTATTTTTATATAAAAATTTAATCATTTTAAAACGAATTTTAAACGCGTCCGATATGTTATAAGGAAAAAAAAAAAAAAAAAAAAAAACAAGTACATGCATATTCAATCATCCAATAACACCTATAAAATAGAATAAAAAAGACCAAACCGCCTAAAATTAACAATGGGTGGCTCAATTAACCACCCGATCACGATGGTCTTGATGAGGCGCTAAAAAAATCGATTATTCGTTCTCAGTTGGGTTGCCTCATTGCTGCTCGGTTTTCAATTTTCTTGAAGTGCCATAGTAGACTGTTCTTTCCATAATTTGGGTTATTTCTTTTAATAAACAAAGGCCTTATTTTCCACAGGGCAAACATGAAACACCACATTAGTTCAGTGGCTCTTGAACTAAATTAACTAATGCATGAGACATTCAGCAAAAGTTAATGGATGAGAGAGTACTTTGGAATTCATCTCGTTTTTATTTTTTTACGTTTTTTTAAAAAGAAAAAATAAAAATATTTTTAAAAGAGTGTTTGACACAATAAAGACAAAAAACGAAAATGAAAACGATTTTTTAGTTTAATGTAAAATGAGAGAGAAATGAAAATCATTTTTTTTTTCTCATCTCTCGAGTAGAGATGGACATTAATGAATTTTTTTTATATTGAAAATAATCACTTGATAAAATTACCAAACGCATTTTTAAAAATAAATTCTGTCTGAAATTAAAAATGCTTTTATTTTTATTTTTATATAAAAAATAAAATTATTTTAAAATGAGTTCTAAACACACCCTATAAAACTCACATGGTTGTTGTCAACCTTTCATTGCCTCGAAAAGAGTCTCATGAAATAGGAAAAGCAAAAGAACTAGACCAAATTCTCATGGACAAAGGCCAAGGACAACATTGTGACGGTGGACATTAACGTGTTGTGTGGGTAGAGCTGCTTGGGCAACACGTAGCCAAATGCCATTGCCAAGAATTTCCCACCACATGTACCCATCAAGTTGTTGGTCCATAACTAGAAGAGGCACTTCTTACAAGCTATATATGAAACTTAAATGAGCTTTAAGATTCATGGGATGTTTTGCATGAGGATTTGTGATATGATTTGAATTATAATTCGTAATTTATTATAGTATTTTATCTCATAAAAAATACACATAAATCAAAAATGATTCTGAATCTATAAATTAAACGTCAACTCATATTATATATACATCTACTATATATAAAAGAGTAAATCAACAAGCTTACTGTTGGGCTTTGGTAGTGCAAAACCCACCATTTGGTGCTCTTTTTTTCTTTTGTTTACCTTTCTCCTTTATTTCTTTTCTTTCCTTATTTTTTTCTAATTTTTTAACCTTTTATTTTTTTTTTGCTTTCTTCTCTTGCATTACTTTTTTTTTTTCCCTATTTTCATTGGCTCCATTTATTCGCTACTATAGTTTGTTACCCTTAAAACTGTTTAAATGTTTATTTATTTTTAACTCCGTCGTTTTTATTTTTTATCTTTTTTTTAACTCTATTTGTATACCATTGTATTTTACTAATGATTTTTTACATTTTTTTTTTCTTTTAAATCCTTTTCATTCCTTTTTAACTACATTCTTTATCTTTTATTTTGTTTATTTATATTTTAACTTTCTTCTTTCATTTTTTTTATTCCATTTGTGAATGCATATCTCTTAAGAATGAGGTTTTACCTTTCTTTCTTTCCGCTTTTATTTTTTTCCTATCTTTTTTACACTATTTGTCTACCATAGTTACTTACACTAATATTCTCTTAATTTTTCCTTCCATGTTTATCTTTTACTCTCATTCTTTCTCATAGATTTCTTAAACCTCAAATCTAAACTTTCTAATCTGAATAATCTCCTTGCTTGTGTTTTTTTTTGTTATCTTATAATTTATAATGTTTTATCAATTTTTGTATTCTATTGTTTATATAATCTTTTAAAATTCCTTAGTAACTTTTTTTCTATATTTTATTTGTTCATATTCTACGTTATTAAAATTATAATTACAACTCCATACGTGCATCATCGCACATAGCCTAAATTAGTATATATAGGGGGTGTTTGGTATGCGAGAATCAGTAGGAATCATATTCCCAGGAAAGTGATGGAGGGTAATATGATTCCTAGGAATAATACATTACTGTGTTTGGTTCCATACAGGAATTTTTTTCAAATTCCCAGGAATATTACATCACTGTGTTTGATTGTTCGCATGGAAGAAGAACCATAATAATAATAATAATAATAATAATAATAATAATATTATTATTATTATTATTATTATTATTATTATTATGGTTCTTCTTCCATGCGAACAATATAAGTATAATAATAATTATAATAATAATAATAATAATAATAAGATTCTCATGATTTTGAGATTCCTGGGAATTTGAATAACACCATGTTGGGTGATATTCAGATTACCTTAAAATGAGGGAAATGAATCCCATGGTAATCACTTTCCCGAGAATCTAAAAATTATAATTCTTGTACCAAACATGGTAATATTGCAGATTCTCATTCTCATCCTTAAGATTACTGCATACTAAACGCCCCCATAAAAGTTTTTAAAGGGAATAATTAAAATTTTAATTTTTTTATAGTTTGAATCACAATTCAATCTTTTAAATACATTATTTTCTCTTATAAAAATTTATTTTTTACTCAAGTTTTCAACCCGAACCAATGAAAACAAAGGGCCAAAATTTAATATATACAAATTTAATCTTAAACTGTTTGTTATGCATTTATAATTTGATGTGATTTTGATCAAATCTAACAATCATAAACATGTACTAAATATCTAAAACAAGGTAATAAGAATAGGAGACCGTGCCATAAAAATATCCAACCCTCATATTATTCTTTCTTCTAGGGAAAAAAAAAAAAAAAACCTTGTTTTGCACGTTTCTTTCTGTTCTTTTTCTCCCCCGAAGATTCTCTGTTCTTATTTTTTTATACATATATTAGCTTTCTAAGGACTTAATGTTGTTTTCTTTTAATTATTTAAACAAAATTTCAACTACTTACAAAGTTTTAGGGTGTATTTATTTGCACAATTTAAGTCATGACTTAAAATCATATTACGACAATATTTTCTCTCATATAAATTCAATTTTAATTTTTTGCTATAACGTTTTTCTCTCACATACACAAGTCAAGTCATGACTTGAGTTATGCAAATGAACGTACCCTTAATAAATTAATTGTTAATCTTATATGATTGAATCCAAATTTTCTGCAATAAGATATTATCCCTTGAGATACTAATACTAAGGTGGTGAACATTAGATAACCTTAACAGAATTTTTTTAAACTCCATCATACTAGCAGTCTAGCACACACTCTGAAAATTAGCTTAAATTCACAGGATTTTCAGCTTATACGGTTATACCACCTCGATGCACATATTATGTGATTGTTTTCAGTTTTTCAAGTAGGAAATCATATATGAGAATTCATCCCAATTGAATGAGTCTTCACCGTGCAACAATACCAAATACTATTTTTTTTCCTATTGAGTTGGAGAAGGAATATGGATTCGATGTTAAGAACTATGACTAATAAAAAATGAGTCATGTCGAGCATTCTTATATTATAGGACTCATCTTTTATTATTATATGATGCTTAGCACCATCGATGTCCTGTATATTAATAATATTGTTAAAAAAGAAAAATGCTATTGAGCCGAATAGAGACTTATCTCTGTCAAACACATACACTGAATCCCACGTGGTAAGATCCATATAGGCCCCACAAGTGAGGCTCACTTCTTGAGTTTGATAAAAGATTTGTCCCAATTTGAACAAATAATACTGCTCTTAAAAAAAATGCTTAAAAAGCACCACTTATATTGAGCACACAAAATAGACCTCAGTATTAGGAAAATGATATTGTATATATTGTTACTTGTATTAATATTTTGACTTTATTTGTATCAATTATCAAATTAGGAAACTTATGTTAAAGAAAATAAAGAAACTCATCAAATTTCGTGTTTATAATGTCTATTTATATGGAATGTATTTATAGGCATTGTTCATTTCACAACTCAAGTCACAACTCAAGTTTTATTGCTACATTATTTTTTTTACAAAAATTCAAATTCAACTTTTTTGCTACAATGTTTTTCTCTCACATACACAACTCAAGTCATAACTTAACTCAAGTTATGACTTAAGTCGTGAAATGAACATAAAAATAGTGTTTCTTATTAGTGAATGGGGCAAAGAGACAAATACTACTTAAAGTGTATGAGTCCAGATTTTTTTCTTTTTACTCTCGATTAATATCATTTTTCATCAAGTAACTATATTAGTTAAAGATATTAAATAAGAGTAAGGGGTAAAAATTCATACCCATGCACTTTAAGAGTAAGTTCAATAATTTTCTGTTAGTGAATTTACTCTCTTCCCGGTCCTCATATATATACAAATTATCGAGCCTTATTTTCTTATTTAATTATGGTTGAACACCATAGAGTGGACCTCACTTATAGATCTCACTAAATCATGCTCATTTTTATTAGACCATTCACAATGTAAATATTAACGTCAATTGTATAATTAACGCTATATTATATGATAAGACATGTTATTTTTATTTATGTTCAAATACATAATGCTATTTAAAATGTTAAAATCTACTTTTTCTATAATCACTAAGTCTTAAAATTTTTAAAATTAAAAAATAAAAGCATCAAATGAAAAAATAACCATATCAATTAATAAGAATAAAGTATCAAATTTATTATATATTATACTTAATAAAAATTTACCATAAAATATAACAAATGACAAATTTAACATAACTAATAATATTATATTAAAAAATGTTTTTTACACTAAAATTTAAATTTTACAATTAACAGATTATTTATTTTATAGCATCGCATTAAAGTTATACCTGAAGACCAATGGGGTCCTTCAGTATCTTTTAAGGTAGGCCCCACAATCCGTACACTGGGATAATCTTGCTGTAATCCAGCAAGTGGGGAAGAGTGAGACTGACAGTCTGTAATTAATATTTTCATTCACACCACACTCCACGCCCCTATTTATTCCTCCCCTACCCTTTCGGCGGGCGCACGTTAGTTATCCTTCACCCCCTCTCTCTCTCTCTTACAGAGGAGAGAGAGAGAGCAAACCAGAAAGAAACCTTATAGCAAAATAAACAAACCTTATAGCAATACAAGGTAAGCTTTAAGCCTGAGTTTTCTCCGAGAAATTGGCTGCTCTTTTTTTTTTTTTTTTTTTTTTTTTTTTTTTTTTTTTTTTTTTCTGTATTTATTCTCTTCTTTTGTACATTTTAGTTACTTTTGGCTATGGTTTTTTTTGGGGGGAGGGTTCAATCTGGTGCTATGCAATTGCTAATGCTTGACCTTTTTTTTTTTTTTTGTATTATAATGTGTTTGGGTTTTCATGATTTTGCTTCCATTTTTTTTTTGGTGCTGGCAAAATTTTGATTACTGTTGCATTGATGCTTTTTTTTTTTTGCTATGCAATTTGTTGATTTTTTTTTTGGTTGTATTGACTAAAGGGTCTTTTTCTTGTGTATATTTGCATTCAAAATGAAGTTGGGTTTTGGGTTTTTCAATCTTGGTAGAAATTCTGCTCAATATTCTCTAAACTTTCTGTTTGGTTCCTGAGAAAGTTGGCGAATTAAATTATTTCTGGTGCATTATGTTCAAGCAATTAAAAAAGAAATAAGTACACGGAAAACAAAAACCTTTCCTCTCAACAATATACACTTTTTCTTTTCATTTTCTTTTTTATTTTTCTGTGAAATCTTTCATAGATTAGCAAGTTCCTTTAAGGAGTCATGACTTTGCAAATTTTTCTGTGAAAAAGAAAAGAATTATTCTGTATTCCGCCTGCCAAATTTTTATTCTTTGTATGTCTCACTTTTTTCTTTTCCTTTTTTTTAGTCACTTTTTCTCCTGTATAGTTTTAGCTGGCTTTCATTTTCAAGCTTTTAATTCATTTAATTTTTATTCTCACCACAAAAAGTTCCTCTTCCAGTAAGATAGATAAAAAATAATGGAAGAAACATGGAAATAAGCTTCTAAAGGGTGCAAATTTTTCTCCTTTTTTTTTGGTGCCCATAAAACAAACAGAAAGAAACCCTTTGAGAAGTTGATGGAAACCACCCTTTTACTTTCTTCACCATGACTACAAGACAAGCTCAAGCTCAAGCTCACCTTCCTCCTCGCTGCCCAATTCAAAAGAAACCCATTAATGGCCCAATTCCTGATCCCATAACTTTTCCCTCACAAGACCACGAATTTTCTTCCTCTCAACCGTCCATGGAGGACCATCCAACCTGGCTTTATGACTTGTTGAGTGATCCAGAATCGAATTTGAAAGGTGGTTTGAGGCCCCTCCGTCGATCAGTGAGCGACTCTGTTACCCTTTTGGACAGTGTTGCAGGCTCACTGTCCTTTCTGGGTCCCAATTATGATGAGGGGAATTCAGTTGGTGGCCAAACTTGTGGTGGGTTTGAGTCAGATTCGATGTATGGTCCCAATTCGCCTCGGCTGAGAAGCAGTTCGTCGTTATCGGAGAGTGCTATAGTTTCAGCATTGTCCGAATGTGTTTCTCAGGAACCACCTGGTCAGTATGTGGATGGTGGTCTTTGCGTTTCTGGTGCTGGTTGCTCTGAGGGGAGAAATGATGGTGAGCTCAGTGCAGAGGCGAAGGCAGCGAAAAGGTTTGGTTCCCAACTTGTCCGTTAAATTTGTCGGATAGATTTGCTGTTTCATGTAGTTATAACTTTTCTTGATGTTTAATGACGATGAAGAATTTCACTGTTTGGTTTTCCATGTTCAGCTTTAGTTTGCCTGTTTGAACTTTAGCTCGAGTAGTTTTGGAGCGATATTTATTTTGGTAGCGGAAATCTCATGTTCTTAAGAGTCCTTGTGTGCTTTTAGATGATCAAATGAGAGGGAAAAAAGATCCCACTATTTATGCATGTGTTTCATGTATTCTGAACCATTCCATGAGTTCATTACCATTTTGTACTCGCCTTTCTTCTATAGGCATGAGTTGATTACCGTTTTGGTGCAGGCACCCTGGGCAGCGTTCAAGGATTCGTAAACTCCAGTATATTGCTGAATTGGAAAGAACTGTTGATGTTTTGCAGGTAATACTTTAAGGATTAAATAAGATAACCTTATGGTGGGAACTATCTTTATTTCCGTAACATGTAAAGGACCACAACATTCTGTCTGCACTTTTTTGCTGGAAAAAACATCCTATCTGCACTTGCCTTTTCTTTTCACACCCTAATTTGTTGATTAGTAAGGAACTATACATTTACATTTTTTGACTTCTAAAATGTTTTGAGTTGATATTTTCAACACTTCCCCTATGAATGTGCATATATGCTCAAGACTAAGTTCATAACATGTAACTGTGTATTATGAATATGGAAAGTGCAATGAAGTTTACCTGCATTTTTATGTTGTTATAGCCTTGCCCTGTCTTAGATTGATTGAACCTAATGCTGAGGCTTGTGCCCGCAACTATCAACTTCCTTTGATTCTTAGTGCCTTTTGTTTTGCTGCTTTTTTACTTTGCAGACTTTCGAATCAGACTTGGCTGTTAGAGTTACTTCTCTACTTCAGCAACGTGTTGCCTTGTCTGTGGAAAACAGCGAACTAAAGCAGCAGTTGGCTAGACTGCGGAAGGAAAAGTTGGTCATGGATGGTAAGTAGTATTGTTGAGTTCTCATGGATTACTTGCTCGTTGGAATATATGCACTGGAAGCAAATTAACTAAATAGATCATTGTTTTGGTGCTAAATAGATCATTGCATCCCTATCTTTCCAACTTGCCTATACAGCATAGAAACCAAAGAGAAGAACAACGCAATTTTTTTCACGTTTTTGCAGAATCATATAACTAGTTATTTGGTGTCATGAAATAAAAGCAAAGAGGTTGAATAGAAACAAAAAAGTGAAATGACAAGTTACATGGAAAGAGACTAAATCCGATATGTTCTCTTTTAACATATGTTTATGAAGTGTATTAAGTTTCATTTTGGAGAATAATTGGCTGATATATGTGATCCACAATGCATTTGAAATTTGAAAATAATAAAAGCATGAAAAGTACGTGTATGAGTTTGCCCCTTTGAACAGAAGTTCAATCTTATCCTGTATTCCAGAGGGAAAAAAAAAAAAAAGCTCTAGTAAAATGGCTAATGCTCCTATGGAACTTTGGAGGGATTATGGGAGTAAATTGGTGTTAAGTGGGGCAAAAGTGCGGGAGACCATGTTGATGGTATGTATTGGAATGCTTTCCAACCAAAACAATAAAAATAAATAAAAAACAAAAAGTTGGTGGCATGTGTCGGGGGGAAGAAGAGAGACATAGGAAACTTAATCATCTCTTGCATTCTGAGATGTTTGACGACGAAATTTGCTGCAATACAAGAATTTGAACTGTTAGAAAATTTAACGATCAAATATTTAGCTAAATTGAGCCATCTGCTTATAACACGCCGCATGTCAATACAATATTTATTGATAAAGAGAGTTCTAAAGATATTAGTTGGAACTTGGAAATTTTATTTCCTTGTATTTTTACACTGGGAATTGCAGACATATCACTACAGAGAGTGCTTTCTCCGTCCTCATGCATGTTTTGTGGGGATAACATTGTTATTTATTTATTTTGTTTTAATTTTATTCTTACGATCTTATGTTCACTTGTATCATGGCAGGCCAGTATCAGCTACTGAAGAAAGAAGTTAAGAGGCTAAGGGCTGGATTAACAAATTCTACAAATACCAAAATCCGAACATGTTTTGCTCGAAATCCCCAGACCGAGGCAGGTAGTTTAGAGGCTATGCAGATGACATTAGATATGGACAAACTTAATCTTTACTGAAAGCAATAAGAAAAAAGAAAAGGTAAATCATGGTTTTTGGAGCTAATTCACCTTGAAAGACGTGGCTCTTTTCATCCAATGCTTTATGTTTAAAACCCAGTTCAGCCATGAAGAACATGTACTAGGTTGATAACTACTTCATTATCATTGCTCACTTGAAAATCTGCGTTGTATTGTTATTCCACTAACTAGTCTTTAGTACCAAGAGCTAGCTGACTTCATCTTCTGTCTACATTTGTCCTATTTGCTTTAATTATCATCTCCTAGATTGGAGCATTTTCCTTGAGATTCAAGGCTTTGGTCCAACATCTGAAAGGAAATGTCTTTTAAGTAAGGAAATGTCTTTTAAGTAGACATAGGCCGTTGTGATCTTCAAAGTTTGGATTATTTATTTTATTTATTACTAAATAAAAAAAAAACACTTTTGGGGTGGAGCGAAACTCTACGTCTCGAGGTGGAGTTAGGCGTGAAAATACTACTAAATGTTCATTTGGTAAATAGGTTCGAAACGCGTGATAAATAGGTTCGAAAAGTGGTGGTTTGAACTTTTGTGGTGTGGATTGTAAAAGTGTTTTGAACTTTTGTGGTGTGGATTGTAAAAGTGTTTTGAACTTTTGTGGTGTGGATTGTAAAAGTGTTTTGAACTTTTGGTGGGGGGAGGTAGACTCAAAATTCTTAGGTTTTTTTTTGTTTTTTGTTTTTTTTGTTGGTTTGAAACGCCTAAACATTTGTCTGAACCAAGCTTTGCCAAATTCTGGTCAAAACAATGTTTCGGGTGAAAACACTTTAACCTGTTTACCAAATGGTCTCTTATGTCTCTACAATCATCAGCTAAGATTGAATAACAAAAGCCATTGCTCCGGATGTTCTGTAGCTTCTTCAATTCTCATAAATGCTTACCTTTTTAGGAGTTTATGTGGTAAAGGCCACTACAACCAATGAATATTTAAATTCGCGCCGTTTATGTATCATTATCATGATCATCATTGATTATAAAGATTTATAGACTTAACCTTCAGGTGTTGTAACTGCATGGTGGAGAAATCAATAGTGTGTGATCATGTGGAAGTTTACAAGTCATGTTCATTTCACCGATTTGAGTTTAAAATTTGAATTTTGTTACAGTAAAAAGTTCTTAAAAACAGTCACATATAACTTTTTAACTATAGTAAAAAATTATCACATAAAATAACATTTCAACTCGAATTAAAAATTTAAATTAGCGAACTAAATGAATTAGTAGAAAGAGTATCACCTTTCCATTCAGTAAATAGTAAACAGTGGAAGCTATTTGCCATAGCTTGTTTCTGAATGGTGTCGTTCATTTGGCAAGTTCCGGTTTTATACGGCTAACCATTATATTGGGGTCAGTAAATTATTATTGGATTCAAAAATTAAAAATCCAATCGATTGAATGTTAAATTAGTTTTTTAGAATATTTACTATACATCAGTTTGAAGTTGAAAACCATAGTTCTTTAGTCACTTAGGGGCGTTTGGTAGAGGGATTTGTTTCCTGATTCGAATCATGATTCGTGGTTCACTACAGTATTCTCTCACAAAAAATACACGTAAATCGAAAATGATTCGAATCACATAGTTTGAATCTTCTAACCAAATGAACCCTTAAATCTTTACTTTAGTAATGTGTTTGGATTTGATCATATTTGTAAATTCTAAATTGGGATTGGGATGAGAGAAAATCGACATCTAATCTATGGATTTTTAGCCTCTACCAAATCAATAGTTTTTTAGGTAAATTGAGGTAGAATCAATAATTCGTTAGAGATTTATGAAATCAATAGTTTCACGTTATTATTTTGTTGATATTTTGAATGATGGAGCTTTTTGCATAGGAAAATAGTAAAAAATATGCCAATATGAAAAGTTTAAGAAAATATATAGGCCAACTTTTAGTTATAGAAATTAATAAGTCATTACTTGTCAAGTCATGGTTTATAACTAGATAAGTTATGGACAAACTTGTCAAGTTATGGTTCATAGACAGACAAGTTATGAACAAAAACTGTGAATTATGTACAATAACTTGTCAAGTTATTATTTATAACCAGACAAGTTATAGACGAAAATAATAATTTGACATATTTATTAACTTATGTAAACTATTAGCTTATTAATTTTAATTCATTTCAAGTCTTGGCTTATTTTTCTCTTTCTCCATATTATATAATTCCAACAGTCAAATGGAGTTTTCTTTTAAATTTCTTTTTTATTTATTTATAAAAAAAAATGAGGCTTTCTTACCATCTTTTTTAATAAATAACCGAATTTTTTATTTCTTAAACAAATGAGAAAACTTTTTCTATTTTAACAAAATAACCATTTTTTTAGTTTTTTTAGTTGTCAATCAATAATTAATTAACTGACTCATTATTATAATTTACTAATTATTTATTATTAATAAATATGTAATTTATTAATTTTTAATTAATTTCGGTTAAATATCAACTACATTGATTAATAATAAAAAATTATTGAGTTAATCAATACTTGATCACTAAGTTAATCAATGCAACAGTCATTTTTGCTAATTTCACAAAACTCTTGCTATTTTTTTTTTTTTTAAATCCTTAAAAAAGGGTCATATACGCTGTTATCCTTTTTTTTTTTTCTTTGAAAGGTAATTTTTCTTTTAAATTTCAAGAGAGCATTGAACTAGAATTAAATAGTTCTTGCCAAGATTCATGAAATTAATTTTTTCTCCTGCGAAGTGCTGTCTCTTAACAGATATAGTTATGTGATGTGTCAGCGCCACATAATAGAATAATAAATGAATAATAGAGTACTCCGTCACAAAACTACCCATGATCAATAGACTGCTAGAAAACACATAACTATGGTTCATAATATATAACACTAATCTAATGAGAAAAAGACAGAAAAATGGGCATTGAAAACCTCTGTTTTGTTTTGAACTTCTAAGAGCTTTTTAAGTCTGTCATCCTATAGCGGAGGAACATCGAGTCATTTCACTGGACTCGTTAAAACAAAAGTAATCACATAAAGAGAGTTATCAAAAAATATATGTATGAATATTGAGTGGCAAATCAATGCGGTATATTTATTCATAATAGCACACTATTCATGGTAACGGGCAACTAGGTCTAAGATATGGAGATATAAGAGTACCAAATGAGACGAGGTTCACTTCTGCACAATATGTTTACAAGGGCGAGTAATCACCGATAATGAATGGACGCAGAAAACACAACCAACATTTCACTAATCGCGAAGGGATGCCCGGGGAACAGCAGGTAAACCCAGTTCGTCCTCAGCCTGTCACAACATTTAAGTTTGAAGAAGCATAATTAGTATACAAAACCATGGCATAACCAATGTCCTACATAAAAATAGTTGACTACGAAAAACACACACGGACTATAATCCTAAAAGAAAGTCACCACCGAAGAGTTCACACGAAAGAAGTGACTTGATGAACCTAATGTTTTTTCTTGTTCGCATTTTTAAAAAATAAAACACATACATGAACATTTGATCTGCCTGCCGCATGTCCCATCGGTGCTGAAGGCAAGTTGAGCTCTGCATCCAAGTCAGGTTCCTTATCAGGTTGGAGATAAGAAGGCACGCCATCAGCTTCACTTTCCATTCCCATGTCAGCTTCTAAAGCATCAAGCTCTGCAATGATAAATTGAGATGGTAGGGTAATGGGTATAAAAGTGAAAACCAAATATAAAATAGTCGCATGAAAATGGAAGAGACCATCTGAATAAAATTCTACTACTATGCTACTTTCTCTCTTTTGCCTTCAATTATTTGGTTTGGTCAATTCCCTTTACATTTTGGCCTTTGAGGAATACATTCACTTCCATGAAACCATAAAATTTTGGGACAAAAGTGAGACAAAGGGTCTAGAATGCAATTAACCATTCAATTAATTTGTATCTTACCACCCATAAGGTCTTCCTCATCAATATCATCAGGCACGCTATAGCTTCTACCCAGGGTCTCTTGAATTTCATTACTTACGTCCATCAGGTCCATCATCTCATCTTGCAAGTTCTACACAAGATAAAAATACAGAGTCAAGCACCGAAAACCTTTGGGGAAGCCACTCGCCAGAAAGAAAACTAAAAGGGAATTAAAATAACTGGGGTATCACATACATCTATGTCTTGAATCTTCACGGTTTTCATCATCCCTTTCAACTCCTTGTTAGCTGATTTTAGAGCTGACATCTACAAAGATCAGAAAAAAGTATTGCAAGATGGTCAAACATTAATCAATCTCTCAAAATGGCTCTATTAGCATCTAACACATTAAACCTAAATGGATTCCAAAATGAGTGCAAGACAACCAAGGACCTAGATTAATCAGATACTTATGGTTGAATCCCTCCTAATCACATATGGTCCATCTCCTAACTCTCATGAGGTATGCAGCCGATTCCAATCAGGTTAGAGAAAAAGCTCCGCTTGGACAGCCTTGAACTCTGCCCCTTGGGGTGCTACGAAGAAAACAAATATTTAAAGGTGAATACCATAGCCCCAGTACAACCAAAGTTAATGTAGCAACCAGTAACACCCCCAACTATTGCAGATCACTACTAGCTACTTTTAGTTTTCTATAGCCTCTCCATCTAGACCCATGTTCAACCGAGAAAAAAAAACGTTGCATTAATAGATAGTAACTATAGAATATTGTTTTATTTTCTTTGGGGTGGTGACGGAAACAACCCCAAAATACCTGCTACTAGAGTCTTTACCAAAAAGAGAAAAATGGAACACTTGCTAAGGTAAACTTTCATTTTAGCATACAGAACAATAGGTACTATTAACTCAAAAATAATGTTCGCTCTAAAGTGCAGGTTTTAGTAAAAAGGAATATTTTAGACTAAATCAAATGTCACCAAGTTCAAAAACTTCACGTTCCCAACAATCTATAAGAAATCAAGCTCTCTAAGGAAAAAAAAAGAAAAAGAAAATACAGAGGAAGCGACTCAATTGCAATTCATATCTGAACTCGGATAACCATCCATCCTAATGCTCTAACCTTTATTGTTCACAACATTTAAGAACTTGGACATTCAAAATTGGCCCAAGAGGTCAATGTTCCAAATGAATTAGCAAGCATTTACAAGAAAAGAAGCTTACAGTTTGCTGCGCATCTTTGATGCCCTCAGCAGCAAATGCAACTTGATCAAGGTTAAACGTCTGATTGTACAGCATGTCACGTTGCCCCTCATACCTGCCCAAATGTTTAGTCGAATGTAAGGAGAAAGAACCCAAAAAAAAAAAAAAAGGGGGGGGGGGGGTGGGGGTGATGTTGTGGAGTCCTCCCCTTGTAAAAAACCTCGAACCCGCTTATGAAAATCATACAAGAGAGAAAACATGGAGAAGAGGCACCTACATTCTCTTTTGCTTGAGAACTCTCATGGCTCGAGCTTTAATAGCTTCTTGTGCGGGACCAGGTCTTGTTTTCTTAATCTGTTCTTTGTATCTAGTAAGTTCTACATCAAGCTTTTTGATCTTTTCCTCCACTGAATCACCCCTTTTATTGATCTGAAAAAAATGACATGCATTTAGTCTCTTCATACTGGCACATCATTCCTATCTCCGACTCAGCTTAAACATACATTGGTATATTATCTAGCCAATCGCTTCACTGAAATAGAAAAGCAAGCACCGGAATAAAAAATAAAAAAAATCATTGATTTCAGCAAACAGAATTAAGTCTTTATCAAACAAATAATTTAAACAACTTATAAGTTGGCTTGCTGATAAGAATCAGAAAGCAACCATAATCGGCTTAAGAAACCCAATGTCACACACGGGATTTTTAAGGTTGAAACGGCAATTTCAATTCCCGAACCAGGTTAGGTTTGTAAGCCACATGATGAGCCTAAGGATCAACAATACATATGAATACGACCAGCAACGAATCAAAGTCCGAATCGCAAACACCATTAAAGTTGATGACCGAATTTTGTGGCCAAATTTTGGCTTATTTCAAAGAGCTCTCCATCGATTCACCTCATGACCCTTCTCATAAGTAATACGGTTTCTTCGCAATAATTCAACGCCGTTAAAAGTATTCAGATCGAAAGAACCTATAAAAAATGCAAAATCGAAAATTCCAACTAGTATAAACCCTAACGACTCAACCGGGTCAATTCAGTTCATGCTTTGTGAACTTTATTCGATAGAAAAACTTAAATTTAAACAAAGAAAAAAAAAGGCGATTTAAGAGAAGGAAAAGGAGCAGGAACCCGATCGGAGGCGTCATGAACGGACGGAGGTGGCTCCTTGTCTTTCTTCACACCGAAGACTCTCTTCATTTTCCCTCCTTGTTCTTCTTGTGAGTTGTGATTGAATCTGGAATCGAAATCGCGAGAAAATCCGATTGTAGGGTGTTCTTGGATCGGAATCGGCAAAAAGTCTCGCCGGAGAAAACTATGATAGCAGATTGATTGAAGGATAGATACGAATGGGGTTATGGAGTTTTGTATTGTTTGGTTGCTAGTTTTCGTAATTTCTAGTTTCTAATTCTATTGCTGCGGTCACACGGAAAAAAGGAAAGTTCCAAGAATGAACTGAATGAGATTGATAATCGGATTTTGTGGATTCGGTCGTATCGTGTGGAACGAATACGGGCATTTTTTACAGTGAGTTTGGTAGGTTTTCGAGATTTTTTAACCCATTCAATTAATGGTTGTTTAGTTTGTCGATTTGAGGTTTTAATTTGAATTGAAATGTAATTTTATGTAAAAATATTTTATTGTAATAAAAAAGTTAAATGTGACTATTTATTAGAATTTTTTACTGTAATAAAACTCAAATCAGTGAAATAAACAGAGTTTAAATTTAACTGAGTTGATATTAAATTTAACCTATTTAATTAATCTAAAATTTAAAATCAACCCACCCAATTAAAATTTGAATCGGTTGGTGGGTTATCAGATTGAACATAATAAATAAATAAATAAATAAAGTTAATTATTCAACTTAAAATAGAAAGTATAAAAAGAAAGTTAACTTTCATCGTAATATTAGTCTTATAAAGCTCTAAAATTATCGCACAAATTATAAACCAATATAAAAATAAAATATATGCAAAATAATTTCAAATATATAAATTGTAACCAACAAACAAACAATAATAAAAACTCATACAACGTAAATCATAATAAGTTGTCAAGTAAATTATGTAAAATATGAGACAAAAACTACATATTATGAGGTAGGATAATATTTATTTATATAGATAAATATATTAGGTGGGTTCGGGTTAATTTAAGTTAAGAAAAACTCAACCCAAACCCACCCAATTAATAGTTGGATTGAGTGTGTTGGGTTGAACATTTGATTGAATTGGTCGCTTTTCGAGTTAAAATGGGGTGCGTTGGGTGGGTTAATTGGGTTGTCGGGTCTTTTTTCACCCCTACTGTGTAGCATACAAAAAAGCGTCAACTCCAATCCAAAAAAAAAAAAAGGAAGAAAGAAAGGAAAAAAGAAAAGAGAGAGAGAGAGAGATAAACGAACTTGTAAGGTTACCATTTTGCCGTTAAATATGGTCAAATCACATTAGATTAAAAAATATATAGAACCGTCAATTTTTAATATAGATCTAACTGTCGAAAAATAAAAAATTACCGATAGTTCATTTTTTAATCTTACCAGAGAAATTTCTTAAGAAAAAATAAAGTTTTGAGAGTTTCTCTAGTAGGATCAGAAAAATAAACTACCGGCAATCTCTACTTTTCAGTCGTCAGATTTATATCAGAAATTGTCAATTCTGCATATTTTTTAATCCAATGTGATTTATTGACACTATTACTAAGGAGGTCTACAATGTAAATTTTGTAGGAGAAAATATAGTAACAAAACTTTTCAAATTTAAGGCCTATTTAGTTCCCTGATTCGAATTTTTAATTCGAGTTGAGATATGATTTTATGTGAGAGATTTTTACTGTAGCAAAAAAGTTAGATGTGACTATTTCTGAGAGCTTTTTACTATAACAAAACTCAAATTCTAAACTTGAATCGGTGAAATGAATTGAGCCTTAAACTTTTTGTAAAAAGGAATACCGTTTGAAGCAAAATTTGAACCCTCAAATCAAACATGTACTAAATAGGACTCTAAGACCAAAGTGAGGGTGTTCTTGGTTGTATTAACTCCGTCTTCATCTTCATAGTATCATTAACTGAGGACTATCAGGGCTAGTTATTTACTTATTTATAGTTGTGAGGTATTTTATGATCATAGTTCATTCTAAATTTACAATTAAGGGCTATTCAGTTTTATAATTCCACTATCCTTATAATAATGCAGTCCAACCATAATTTTTCAATATCATGTATTTTTCTTATCCTCAAGAATAAGCGATCATTTTTCAACACCATAATTTGTCAATTCGAGTGTTTTTTTTTTTTTTTTTTTTTTTTTTTTTTTTTTTTTTTTTTTTTACAGTGCAAACTTTTGAAATCAAAATTATCTCTTGCTATATCATGATTTCAACATCTTTATGTTAATGACGTTGCAACCCTAGACTTTCAATTCCCTTCCCTTGACAAATTTTAAGAGCATTTTTCATAAAACAGTCCAATGTAGGAATTATATGATTAGATTTGGTTGATTTTATCTGTGATAGGAAAATGCAATGGGTGGATTTATTTGCAGAATTGTTGACAATGACAGGATTTTTCTGAGGTTTTAAAGTATTTTCAATACTATCCCACAATGTTCAAAGGCTACCCAATCAAACGATCATTAATTATAAAAAATTATGATATTAAATTATACCAGGATATATTTAAAGATGGCCGATTTGAGCTATATTTTGGCCAAAGTTTGTAAACTTAGAGAATGACAGTTCATCAATAATAAACCATTTATCACAATTCGTAGTGTATCACTGATTGATTTGGTAGTTTTACAACTGCATGACCAATATCAATCAGTTATTAACTAATTTTAATCAATAATTTACTGGTTTATCATTAATAATCCAATGGTAAATCTATGATTTGCTTGAAGCCGTGCATAAACCATAAAAAATAGTTCAAAATGAATTATTAAAGCTGAAAATATGCAAGCTAACGCAAAAGCAAAAAATAATATTTACTGTTTAACTTATCATTGGTACTAAATGCGATAGAAAAAAAACAACACTCTCAACGAGAATAAGCAAACTTTAACAAATGGAAAATTCTTACAATTTACATAAATAAAAGGTTCCAACCTTTCCAAAATATTTACCAGTTCATAATTCAGAACAGCAACAAGCTAGTATAATCATATACAAAACACTTGAAACTTAAAATGAGCTGATGGATCTTCAATCAAAAAAAAAAAAAAAAAAAAGAGAGCGGGTGGAAATTCACAACAGTACAAACAAAACTCTGATGATTTCACTGCAGTCAGTAAAGAATTATTGCATATAGTCACCAAAACCGAACTGCCTCTTCTTGCTGAAAATCAAATTATTGCAAAAATGATTAATGTGTTAATTTCGCATGAAATACTTGTTCAATTAATAATGTAAAGGAGAAAAGAAAACCAAATTGCATACAGAATTCAATCTCACCTTCTATAATGCCAATGATCAGGGTTTAAGGCTTTAAGCCGAGCTCTTTCCTCGTCTTTCCCACAAACAGGTCCCCAGATTTGATCTTGCCAGGAATGCATCCACTAATTGTAATAAATGGAAATTGAGCCACGCCCTCTTTTCTCCCAAGAGAGACAATTGCAAGTTCAGAACTAGCAGCCTTATATGTAGCCAGCTTGTGCTCTTTGAGCACCCTTATATGGAGCCAGCTTGTGCTCTTTCCCTCCCGTTAACACCTGCTTCAAGTTCTTGCCGACCACTTGTGCATGTTGATGTGCTATATACCCTTGTTTCATTTCCTGATAAATAAAAGGAAAACTTGTCAGAGCGAAAATATATTTTCACTCAGACTCAAAGATGAAGTCGTGTATTAAGACAGGATGATAATATATCGAACTTGGTAACAGTTACATTAGTTAAATATGGCCTTGGCTTCTAAATTATTGAAAAGGTAAATCAATTAGAACTTTATTGGTGCCAAACTTAGACCATTTCCATCTTATCATCTAAGGCTGGTTTCAAAATTACGTCTAGGAGAGAAACAAAAGATTGGGTCTTAGAATGTCATAGTACTTACACTCAGGTAGAAGAAACATCATGTCATCCCTTTCTATGATTATAAAAAAAATAATGGATTTATAAGCGGCCATTTCCCGAGCGAAATCTAGACACATTTCTAAAGATATTCACTTGTAGTGGCCACTCTCAAGAATGATCCATGACTTCCAACAAACAACACTAGATACCCCAAACCATTTAATATTTCTCCAATAAAAATGTTAGGTTGCAATTCCAGTAGATACAATCAGTGAACCATGTGAAGACGAAACAAAGACATATACATGGTTAAAAAAAAGGGGAAGAGTAAATATAACCATAAGCGGCAGAAATCATATTCATGCTTATAACTTCTCCAACATATGACACACTATACATATTCATGCTTATAACTTCTCCAACATATGACACACTATACATACTCCGGAAAGCACAACTCAGTTCCCTAAGAAGAATTGAGAAAAAATGACTGATCAAGAAACTTTATCCGAAGGATTGTGGACTAATGCGTATCTATCACCTTGGGTAATAACTCCACTAATATGAAGACAAAGTTTTCAGTGTTTTATATAAGCTATATGCAAAACAGAACATTATTGCAATTTCAAACATAACCATAGGAAGGGAACATACGATAAACTTACCTTAATATCTGTGATATCTCCTATGCCAAAGACATTTTGATGACCCCTGACCCTCAAGTGCTCATCAACAATCAACCTTCCATTAGTATCTAAGCTATCCTTTAGAACAGTCTCCTTAAGCCAGGATGAACCCAATGGTATACCAGTAAACAGAAAATGGCAATCTGCTTTTATAGTCTCTCCGCTCGATGTTTGGTATATACCGTCAGATACATTATCCAAATTAACTGATTGCTCTAAAAGCACTTCAACTTTCTTCGATATCAACCAATTCAATGCCTTTTTCGAAGCCTTAGGACCAACAAATTCAAGCAATCTGCTCCCCTGGTGCACCAGTGTTACCTTCTTCTCTGGAAAGTCAACAGAAATTTCACCAGCAAGCTCCACACCAGAGGGACCCCCTCCCACAATCAAAATTGAATCATGAGACTTTATCTTTTCAAACTCTGTAAATAGAAGAATAATAAAGTCAGCACGTCCTAATGCAAATACGGCATAAACTTATCAAAAACCTTATATATTCACTATAGAAAAAGTGAGCTCAATCCCATAAAAAATGTCTCATTTTCATTCCTTGTTCCACTTTAAGAGTATGTTTGGTAGGAAAGAAAAGTAGAAGGAAGGAAGAAGGTAGAGGGATTTTGAGAGGGAAAATGAAAATGTAAGTTGTTTGGTAGGAGGGAAAAGAGAAAGGAAGAGAAAATAGAGTGGAAAATAATACATGTGGGTCCCACTATTTTTTTTCTTTCCACGAGTGGGCAGAAAATGAGATAAAAAATGGAGACAACTCATTAAAGTGAGCAAAGTTACTAAACTACCATTTTCTCCATCAACATCCAAGTAAAAAATTTAAAGGTATAAAAGTAATTTACGAGTAAGATTTTTTCTTTCCTCTCAATTTAACTTCCAATACCAAACAAGTAAAGGTAAGCTCATTTTTTTTCCATCTTCTCATGCCAAACAACATAAAAGAAAATTAATTTTCTTTCCATCATTGTTATTTTTCATCACTTCCATATTTTCTTTCTATCTTATTTTCTTTCCTTCCTACCAAACATAGCATAAAAGTTTCAGGAGTTGAAAATGAACAACAACATCGTGCTTAAACGTTATATATATTCCTGTTCCACACTTGATTTCGATTTCAACGCAATCACCTCATGCCCTTAAGTTCTTATTGTTGTTCCACGCCTTGATTTCGATTTCAACGCAATCACCTCATGCCCTTAAGTTCTTATTGTATATATTCAACAAGGCAAAACAGAAAATACTGATACTTCTATCTCATGCATTTTTGTGTTCACCTGACTCGTACTGACTGAGCCTTTCAGATCTAGTTCTGGGAAAAGAATCCTTGTGACCAGTAGCAACAACCAGATAATCGTATGCAAACGAATGGCCATCTGCAGTGAAAACTTCACTTTCTGTGACATTAGTTGCAGTAGCTACAACAATCTGCACATTGGTAAGATAATCAGAGTGCTTAATCACTGTTCTTTCAGCAAATGATGGCTCCACCCTAGCCCTCAAGCTCCCCCATGGAATCTCGTAATACTCCTTCCTAATTCATTTGTTCATTTTCAAAATCAGAAAATGACATGACAGCAATTCTTTACTTAAAAAAAAAAAAAAAAAAAAAAAGAACCGATAAGAGAGAAAAAGTGAAACTGAAGACATCAATGATTTATGGGATTAATAGAAAATGTTTGGAATAGATTTAAATAGTATACTATCGAAATGTTTAGGATATATGCCTGCTCAATCCTATATATCGAGTAAGATGTGAATTTAGAATCGGAACTCAACCAATAAAGATTTAGAGGAAAAAGATAATTGAGTAAAACAATTTCTGTAGTTGGAGAACCAATTAATAAATCTTGATTGTGTTTTCTCTTTTCGTTTTGATGTATTAGAAACAAAATAACGAATTATGCTCTTCATATCCTATTCTGGCACTTTTTGTCTAACAGTTCTATACTAGGTCCAGATCCTTACTCTATCGACGATTACAGTAAAAGCTTTCAACAAAATGACAAGGAACCAATGACACGACTACAGTAAACCCTCATTCGCTTAGGGTCAGATTTGCTTATAATGTCTATGCACTTCAATGATGCTTGGTTACACTCTCATTTTCTGTTCTTTGTTTAAGTGAAAAAAAACGTTAAAAATTATGGAATTTTCAAGATGTTACTCAAGAAAATCCCATTAAATTTTTTGCAAAAAAAAAAAAAAAAAAACCACTCGCCACCTTTTAACCCATCAATAACCACAACTTCAGAACCAAGTTTAAGCAATTTTCTTTACAATGTTTCACACATTTTTCGTTAGTTTTTCCATTTATCTCCAACCCAGGTAGCTATTTCACTCCAGAATTACACAGAAAACCCAAATCCACCATTTCCGAACACCCCAAACTCAGGGGAAAAAAAAGAAGTATTGCAAACAAAAAATTTACATGTTAAAAGTATAAACGAACGCAACAAGTCTACCTAAAAACAATTTATACGAAGGTGACCAATAATTCAGACATTACACCTCCAAAAAAAAATTTGAAAAAAAAAAGAGCAAAAGTAGAATCTTAGGCATCGTTCACTTCACCGATTCGAATTTAGAATTTGAGTTTTGTTACAGTAAAAAATTTTTAAAAACAGTCACATCTAATTTTTTTATTACAGTTAAAAACTCTTATAAAAAATCACATTTTAACTTGAGTTACAAACTCAAATAACGAGCCCTTACTGATCTATAAGGACAACATCGGCACATAACTGAAGAGAGTGAGCAATAACGGAACCAGCCGCACCACCTCCCACAATCACCACTCTCTTCTTTTCTCCACCTTGATTTGCCATAAAATCAGCCACCGAATTACAGAACAAAAAAAAAAGCCCAAATTTCTCAAATTTGGGAACAAAGTCAAAGCAATGAAATCCAAAAGTGCATTCGATTGAACAAAATGCAGGTCGCGACCAGGGGAATAAATAAGATAATCTTCAAGAAAGAAGATTCTAGATACTCGGAATTTTCTTTTTTCTTGATAAGTAAACGAAAATGGAGACAAGAAAGATTCTCCGTGGTTTTGGACTCAGTCTTTGATGAGTTCAGATTAAGTTTGGATTTCTGGTGCTGAAGTCGGATGTTTTGATTATAACGTTTGTATATTTTTTATGAAAAAAATACTATAATAAATTACAAATTATAATTCAAATTATCACACAAATCTTCTTTCCAAACGCAATTCTGTAAACGCGTTGAAATGAAAGAGATGCTTTTAGAAAGACAAGTTTTCTTAAACGATTTGTTGGTAGGCGTAGCCGTAGCGTGCCATTCTGGCAATCTGTTATTTATTATTATTATTTTTAAATAAAAAAAGGAGCAACAACAACAACCGTTTTTTGTTGTCTTTGTCTCTTTTGTGGTCAACGGTAAGGCGTCACATGGGTTTACGAAATTTTTCAATAAAAGATAATTTCGGCCTTCGCTTCTTTTATATATTTGAATTTTCAATTTAAATTAAGTTATGTTATTTTTTAAAAATTTTTAATTATAATAAAAAAATTAAATGTGATATTATTTAATAATTTTTAATTATAAAAATTTAAAATTAGAAATTCAAAACGGTGAAATGAACGATACCTGAATTTATGTACTGATCTAAATTTTTATCAATTATTTTTAATTATTTATTTTTATTAATATAATTAAAATGACATTCTCCTGTCAATATACTGATAGATTACGATTTTGTCTGTTAACTCTGTATAAAAGTACGTAAAAGTAAAAAATATATAAATTTAACAGTTAGAAAAATTTAATTTATCGACACGCTGACGTACCAAAAAATTTCTCATAATTAAAAGGGTATTAATCAATTTTAAAAAATAAAAATTAAGACTCATATAATCTATAGGGATATTTATTTCATTTTTCTGTTCTAAAATTTACCCTTAAAATTGACTAATATACTGTGCTTTTTTATATTGATGTGATGGTTGAAAACACAACTCTATTAATACTGTATTTTTCAAATCCTACCAATTATTTATAATGGTACTTATTCGTATAAAAAAATCTGGATTTTTGTTGAATAAAAGAGGAAATTTTTTGGTATTATCACACACTCCGTCATTTCATCACTTTAAAAATTAAGGACCTCATGAAAAAGGAGAGGTTTTATTTATTTATTTATTTATTTTTGGGTCTTTGGAGTCTGCAAACTTTTTTATCTTTAACACTTGTGTTCAATTTGCAGCCATGCGACTATGCATTAAACATTTGATTGGCTGGATTTTGTGTATACCATGAAGAAGTCAAAGATTTGCTTGCAACTAATTTGGGAGTTGACTAGTTTTGGGTTTTGTTGGAATTTTGTGCTTGAAATAATTATATAAAATGTTTGCTTTAAAAGCCTTAAATTTAAAAAATATTTATAAAAAATATCTATTTTTAAAGAATGAGTAATATGTAATATCGGGTATTTTTTATTGTTTATTTTGTGTTGTGTGGTTGATTTTTTCTGATTACATTTTACAAGTTGACTTTTCTTTTTAACCATAATTATAATTTGCAATAAATTTTTTATTTAATATTAATAAGTACTTTTAAATAAGGGAGATGTTTTGATACGTCTAGCGCATCAGTGGGTTAAATTTTTCTAACCGTTAGATTTACATACTTTTTAATTTTTACGTGATTTTATATAAATTTAATATACATAAAATTTGGCTACTAATAAATTGACATATCAGGTCCATTTAGATAATTAGATTTTCCCCCCTCTCTCTTTAATTTAGGTGTTGACTTGTTCTTCCCCAACTTTATTTGGGAGTTGATGATAAACTTTTGTAAATAGGGGCGCATATGAGAAACTTGTTTCTCCCACCATCAATTTTTTGATTTCCATTCTTCATTCCTTTAGTGATTTAGTTTTGGAAGTTCTATTATGCATGGTGTATAGTGACTCCTTTTTGACTTATGTTGTTGCAGTAGAGCCTAATGTCTTATTTTGTTCGCGAGTAAATTACAATGTTTTACTTTAAATTATTCAGTTTTTACATAATAGATTTTGATCTTTCAAGTTTAATAAGTTATACCTTGAGCTTTAAAATCAGTGCAACTAAAATCTAAATGTTAATGGCGTTATCAAATTGATAACTCGAAACACGATATTTGCGTGTGATATGACTTGAAAAGTGACAATTTTTATCTTTCATGTGTGAATTACGTGTTTTAAACCATTAATTTGATAACATTCGGTATCTATTAAACATTAACTACAAATGATTTTAAAGTTCAAAATGTATTATGTAAAAATGAATAGTTTAAGGTACAATGATGCAATTTACCTTTTTGTTTGAGGTGGTTTTATAGCGTCGAGTCATGGCTTTTTTCCTTCTTAGTAAAATTTGTTTCTTATGGCAGTTTTTGCATCATGTTGATGTTTTATGTTTATTTGGGATTTTTGAATTAAATAATATACGGTGTTGTTATTTATTTTTTTTATTTTTTTTGCATTTTTATGAGTAGATTCGGATTTTAATTTTTATTTAGAAGTTTAATTCTCAATTTCCAAATATAATTATTATATCTTCATTATAATACACAGTGCATCAGAAAATATAGTATAATGAAAAGTTTTTAATTTATTCTTCTTGTTTAATTAATATTATTTGTCATAATGAAAAGTATATGATTTTTTTTTCATTGCTGACATTTTATTATTTATGGTAATACTTATATTGATACTATGATGAACATATTAAACATGTTTTTTTAATTATTTTTGTCATTATGAAAAAAATTTATATTCTTTAAGATAAAGTACATTTTATAATGTATAACTTTAATTATAATTGAAAGTAATGTCTATTGTATTGTTTTACATGAATACTGAAATTTATAAATTTTTATAATAATTACATTACGATTTTGGTAATGACGTTTTCTATTTGTTTCGAGTTATCTTAAATGAGATATTTTCATTTTTTATGATCTTTCAGATTCAAAAATGTTAAAAAATGTCGGGTAGATGCTTTTATTTGTTTTTTTTTAAAGATTATTTTTATAATTGCTCCCGAACTATATATCTCGATTCAAAATACCCTCGATTTTTCAAAACGGTTCAAAACACCCCCTGATATATAGAAAATGATTCAAAACACCATTTTCGTCTAAGTCCGTCTAGAACACTAACAGATTATCTGACGTGGCTGTAATGACTGAGAAAATTCCAGACCTTAAATAATACAATTCATGTATTTTTAAGCCAAGGATTTTCTTAGAAAATATTATGTTATATTGTGAATGGAGGATTTATGGAATTAATATATGTATTCCTAAATTCTATAGCAAATTTCATGTTAAGTTCATGTTTCGATCAAGTAAATTCGATCGATAAATTCTCGCCGTATTTTAAGGCGGAATAATTTTCAGTACAAGTATAGTTTGAGAATCTTAATTTCAAGAATCTCTAAGCACGGCACGATGTTAGCGGCGTATAAAAAAAAAACGCACTGGCATTTTAAAAGAAGAAAAAAATCCTTAATTGCTAGATAGTTAGGTTAAAGTCGCAAGATAAATACCTATAGTAGATGGGTACAATATGAGCTCGGGAGTTGACACTGTCAGAAACGTCATTCTCGGGATAGAATACAGAAAATTAAAATTTAGAATTTGTTCAGTCTAAAATTAATTTCAAGACTTGAAACAGTTTGAAATATTACGCGAGTAAGAATATAAAACAATATTGAATTATTCAGAAATTGATATTGGACTGTAAGTAGTAGATTAACTTACGTAAGCTAAACTAATTACCTCTAATCAGTATAAATTTAATCTGTTTAGAGGAAATAATTGAGGATAAGATCAGGCACGTAATCTTACCTTAATCAGATACTTTATATAGTGAAATTTTTAGGGTTTTTGCACTTTCTTTCTCTTATTCTCGCTCATTCTCTCTCTCCTCTCAC